AGTACAACATGACCCTGTCTTTAACTCGTACTCGCTCTATATTCGAGCAAGCTACCTTATCACTAAACCTAAAGCCCTCCACGAGATAACTCAACCACGTGGCAATACGGCCGGTGAGTTTCAAAGTTTCACTATAATTTAGTAAAATATTCAGTACAACATGACCCTGTCTATAACTCTTACTCGCTCTATATTCGAGCAAGCTACCTTATCACCAATCCTAAAGCCCTCCTCGAGATAACTCAAACACGTGCACGAGGACATGCGGCTATCACTTCCGCTCAATAGCTTTTCCGTTAACCCTTCTACATTCCGCCACACGCCTTCATGTGGGCTAGAGGAGCCTACCGCTCATAGACACAACCACGGCATGTCCAGAACATAAAGGGCGGAGAATGCATAACATCTCTCCTTCAAACGGTATGACGACCGGCATGTCTCCCGCAAAAATATCTCTAAGTTCACCTCGCTATTTCCCTATTAAACTAACGCCATAGTACAAAAATACTACCGAGGACCTAACAATAAATGTTCAGTAAATGTTTACAACCCCGGATTCTGGAAGGATGGGCGACATAGAGTAATTAAATCATTGGATTTAGACAGCTGAAAAAGTGCTGCTTACCTGGCTGAAGTCGGGAACAAAAGTGCTCTATACCAGAAGCCCCCTTGATTATTTCCGGTAGCGGCCGGTATAATTTTAAGGATTCCCGCTGGTCGGTGAATTAGACGGAACGCAACACCCCAAAACCTTGGTGCGTTACATGTGCACTCACTCCTTAACTGATACAAACTGCAAAATTTAAAACTTAAATATTAGTATGCGTGCGATCGAACTGAAACTTTGCATATAGTTAGATGATGGCATTTAAAAAATATTACAAAATGTCACTCAAAGAATTGCTGGGCGCGCGAAAACCTCGCTCGGCACTCATTTTCTCCGCTGAACCAGAGGAAACTCGAGCTTCCAGAAATTTATCTGTTAAAATGTCTCTAAGGCTGGTGTCGGGCCAGAGAAGACTCGGGCTACCAGAAATCTATCTGTCAAAATGTCTCTTAGTCTGGTGTCGGGCCAGAGGAAACTCGGGCTACCAGAAATCTATCTGTCAAAATGTCTAAGTCTGGTGTCGGGGCCAGAGGAAACTCGGGCTAAACCTACGTGTACATATGTATTTCATAAATAGATAATATTAGGACATAATTAATTAATATTGATCGCTCCAAAATATCATAAATATAAAGCAACCGATAACTATTTTTTTAGTATGTTTTTTTTTATTGTAAACCGATCGAGGGCACCTTATTGTAAATAAGGTGTCCGCTAATTGATCACACAAATAAATAATAATACCAGAGACGTCCCTGATAATACACAAAACCTTTATTATGTATTTACTAATATATTTCATAGAGGAGATATACAAATAGAAGATAGAAAAAGTGAAAACACGGAAATACAAACTACTATCCCGACTAATCGCCCAATAAAACAACCTATACATCAGTAGAAGTTACATGACGTAATACCACAAAAACTGACCATTCGGACAATAAAACTACCAATGGAAAAGCAGAAGTTACTTGATGTACACTACAAAGACTGACCACTCCTACAGTTAAACAAACCATGAAATAACAGAAGTTACTTGACGTACTCTGGAAAGACTGACCACTCGGATAATTAAACAACCAATAAAATAGCAAAAGTTGCATTACGTAATACCACAAAAACTGACAATTCGGACAATAAAACAACCAATGAAATAGCAGAAGTAAATTGACGTACACTGCAAAAACTGACCACTCCATAAAACAAACCATGAAATAACAGAAGTTACTTGACGTACACTGCAAAGACTAAGTACTCAGACAATAAAACAGTCAATGAAATAACAGAAGCCTCATGACGTTATATACCCAGTGACCTGATAATTTGTTACAGCTATATTTGGACCTAAACTAAGGTGTTTAGAGTAGTTGTACATATTTTAGGGGTTGAGATCGACTTTCGGTAAAACTGAGACCCCAAATGATCATATAGAGGAGAAGGGAGGAAAGCTCCCGATGTCGAAATGTCGACCCCACCTAACTTTCTTGCACCAAAACTCTTTTAAAAACTCTCTATATGCACGTTAAATGTATTCTCCTTCGGCGGACATGAACTCCGTTTCTTTCAAAAACACACGCCATTTCAGAGTTTCAAAGTTTTTCGCAGTCAGCCTGTCACTTTTTTTAAATATTAATGAGGTTGACGTCAGCCACTTGCCGAGACCCGTAGCGTGATTAGCTGGAAGTGAAGGAATTTTGTCGAAAAACCAACCAACACTGCATGTTTCAGTGGCAGACTGACTGCGAAAAAACAGAACCTGGAATTAAAAAACAAAGAAGTCGGCATATGTTACTACCTGGGTATTGAAGTAAAATTCGCGTGTTAAAAAACTTTGTCTAAATGACAACAACCAGAGTTTCCTTCTATGACAGTACTTAGTATTACACTTATGACGTAACGCGGTCATAGTTAACTTCGAAGCGTCAAGATATCAATAAAATATTATAACAAGAGTGTTGCGTGTTGATATCTATGTATATTTCAATTTTAAAAAAAGTCGGGAAAACGTTAACATCTAGCTATTATTAACTAGCAAAAGATTTAAAAGCAGTATAATATTATTCATAAAAATATCTAATTGTTTTACATAAACAAGAAAACTTTATTCATAATATATAATAATGCGAAATTATATGATAAGATAGAAAAAGACACAGGGGGCTGGTTTTGCTAAAATTTCTTAATGGTCCAAATGCAAGATGGCAGCTGGTCTTCCGTTTTGTTTTTCCGAACAGTCTCAAAAGCAAACATGCACAACTTAAACCAAAGGGAATCTAAATATTAAATTTGAGAAACCCGATCCCTCCAGTACTTTCTTAGAAATAGCCATAAGAACCTGAAGTGACAAAATTCAAGATGGACGCCGTTCGGCCTTTTTAATTATGTGATCAGTCTCAAAAGAAAAAAACTAGGGATCAGAAGAAACTTTATATGAAATTTGAGAAGGATGCATCAAGTGTTTTCTGAAAATTAGCGATAACAGGCCTCAACAGTCAGGAACAGTTGGTTTCAGAATTCATTTCATGACAAATGGGACCTCATTGACTTACACATGAGTGGGTGTTAAAGGTGCGGTAATACAATTCCTCGTAGAGCATTTAAATGACACAATTACGAATAATTATATCATCATCGCGTGCATCATATTTCACTTAGTATTTTGATATCGAATTTTACACTATTTCAAAAAAAGAATTGTTCTGTATATTAAAGATTTAAGCAGAAAAGTATGAAATTTCATTACTGATGAGAAATCCATCATTTTGTAAGGATACCCCAGCACTCAACCTGGTGTTATACAAGGAGGTCTACTATGGTTATCAGTAGTAATAATGGATAATCATGCATGCAGTTATTGTTCATTGTTATGTATATTCATATGACGAAAAATCGGGTATATCTTATCACTTCTTAGATATTATTCAAAATTAATTGGAATAGCTATATAGGTAAATAACAGTTTTGGGTATATGTTACCTATTCTCAGAAAGAAATTATTCAAACTTGGTTGGAATAGTTATGATGAAATTGAAATCGAATAGTAACAGAAAGTAAGGTCCCTGCCTACTCCACTGGTTGGCCAAACAGGAAAATTGACTAAATGACAATATATATTATATTTCTCAATAGCAAAAATATTTAACTAAATTTTACAGTTCTTTTCCTGTGGTGACATGCTAAGTATTGTATTTCACTTTGTTTACATGCTGATTTCCACATCACATCTAAACAATAAAATTAAACAACCTATATCATAGCTCGGTTGACCGCTGGTGCCCTTTGGTATCTTCTATGATACTAGTGTCATTTAAAAGCCCAGGGGGACAATTGCCTATAACGCCTATAACACAGGTTTTAGTCTATGAGGCTCCATTTGTTATAAAAGGAATTTTAAACTAATTATTCCTGATTTAAGTTTCCATTTTGTTTTTACCTTTTTTTGATAATCTTATCTCGGGCCGACGCTTATGTTAAATCTCAATAGATGTTTGACCTATCTTTGCTGATTTTAAACTTGTGCGGAAAGCAATGTATGGCTGAGCACATGTAATATGACACTGTACCGTTGTTTGAAGGTTTTTTGAATTACAGTTATATATAGAAATATTGTTATTGACATGTGAATATATATATTTGAATTGACAATGGTATTGAGTTAACGATAATGCTCAGCTACCCAGTGTATAAAATAGTATTTTTTGCATGAACTATCCGGCAAATATATAGTTAATTTGAAAGTCATACGAGAATAAAAATCCCTGTCTCAACCACCGTTGAATGACCTGCAAAATATACAGATATTGTTATCAATTAGGAACCGATGGCACTTTCCGTAAATGAGAAAATACGACGATGTATTTCCCGATTACGGAAAATGCCGACGGTTCCCGATTTTTCTCGTTATTGATTCATAAAGTCTGACTTTCGTCCCCAGGACACTTTTTAGATCAATATCAATGTACGGTATACCAAACTACTAATTACAAAAAATGGTTGTTCATTCCTTATGAATACATACTTTCAAATTGTCCATGTAACGATAATCATCATGCGATAAAGCTTATTTACAGTTAAATTGTCATAAAAAAATCATCAATTGAAAACATAGAAAGTTACATACATCAAATTATTTCTTTACATGGCATGACAGTTTATTGGGCCTTTTCCCCCACAAGTGCCCCGTTTTGGGTTCAGCGACGTTGTATATGTAGATTGAACCTGCATTCTAAAAATAAATTCAACGGTTAAGATTTATCGACTGGGTGAGTGAACATGTTGTTGTCTCATTATACTGTGTTTAGTAAAGCGTCGGTCTGCTTTTTAAACTCTCGTAACATATAAGGTTAGTGTTACCTTGCATTGTGGACATGCGCATGTATATTCTTATTTTTACGTCATCGTTCATGCTGTTGCGCATGCGGAATGGCTTTAGTTTGACTCCAAACAGGACGCTGCACATACTTGGTATACAGAACAATGTCAAACATGGGAATCTGTCGCTATGTTTATTGTTTATGCATAATGTATGTGTTTTCATACCAAGTAAGTGGAAACCAGCTTCAATCAGAAGAAAGGTATCGCAAACGATCAGTAACTGTCGTAAGGTGCGACCTGTTGCAAGGCAAGTTTGGAGTGAATGTCACAAACAACACCGACAAGAAAAGAGAGGTCATCTATGAATTTAACTACCGGCTCGACGATGAGGTAACAAAATACATTTTTTTTATTCTGCGGCAGCAGTCTAGGAGTGTTTAAAATAGGGTTGTCAAACCAGACGACCTTTTTAGTAACCGGTTTTTCGAAAACATTTTCCGACCGAGTAACCGGTTAATCGGTCAATTTTGAAATATAACAATCAACAATAGTAAACAGTTTGTATATTTTGCCAATGTTTCATTCTAAACGTATCCACAATTAATATGTATGTATAAGATAACAAGATAGATAATGTAATGGGCTATGGATGTCCGTTATTGGTTTTTTGACAACCGAATTAATGGTCTTCCCTGCCGAGTAACCGTTGACAACTCGTTGGTTTTGATATTACCTTTATCTATATGATTTTGTTAAAAACTATTTTCGTTATGTACCTCAATACCCGTTGTGTGATTTAATTTAGATTGATTGTGAAATTTGTTCCATTTTTCTCGGAACTCCCTATTATAAATGAACCGAGCATTGCAAGGTATTGTATTGGAATGCCGGATCTGACACAAACAATGGTGTATTGTTGAAAGAATAGTGCAGCTAGCTGTATTGATCCTAGTACATGTAATCACCGTAAACTGGGCCTGGTTACTCAGTAGTGTCGCTATAACATTGTGTGTTTTCCCACGAACAGTCGGACTATGTAAAGCGTGACGCGGTGTATTTTAATGTGCATTCAATTTTTAGTAAACCCATAAGAGGGATACACAGAATGACCACTAACTATACCTTTTCACCAAGCTTGCTCATTTCCATTTTTCTGGGGGGGGGGGGGGTTCTGGGTTTTTTTAATATACAAACATTTGTGATTCTTAAAGATACGTGTGTTGTTTTCTGATACAAAATTATGTGACTGGTGACCACAGTCGTTATAGTCTCTTCTCCTTTTAGCCTCACTACCGCAAGAACGTGACCGTAGTAATCCATATTTTAATGTCTCGATGAGCTACGAGAAATTCCCTGAGCCATACAAAAAAATCATTAGAGTCACAGAGATCACATATAGATAAAGTTTACCATTACTAACTGCGCAACAAACTTCTGATGATACGATATTTCCATATTACAAAAAGAAATTTTAAACGCTTACACGGTGTTTACTCATAATAGCGTTAAGCTGAAGGTACTTGTTCCGAATATCTTCGTCTCCATTGAATTCTCGAACTGTATAGAGAGGTGGTGGGACGGACGAACGATACAAAGTATCGCAAACTAACGTTGTGAATGTTCCTTCGCAACCGTAACATATGATATAAACTTTATTTATTTTACGATAATTATGAAAAACAAACTTTCTGTGTGCGGAAACCGGAGTACCCGAGGAAAACCCACATAGTCGGGCAGGTGACCCAATTCCTTTTCGCGTCCGATCGGGGAATCAGACCCAGACGCTCAGTGAAAGGCAAGTGCGCTATCCACTGCACCGACTGACCTCCCAACAGTAACATGAAGGCGACGAAGCAACCATTTTCTTTCTGTCATCTGTTTTGACACAAGATAAGCTTCATCAGTTAGCCATTAGAAGGAGTGGTTTCCTGTTTATGTTTATGTGTATTCCGCTGCAATATAACAGAATCTTGGATATCTGAAAATTTTCTAATGACCCTTTTAAAGCCGTTATCAGAAGGTTTTGATGTATTCCCTTTTTATATCTATATGATTTTGTAAAAGACCATTTCTGCTTAGTGTGTGATTTTTTTGGATTTCTTTTTTTATGAAATTTGTTTCATTTTTCTCGGAACTCCCTATTATAAATGAACGGAGCATTGCAAGGTATTGTATTGGAATGCCGGATCTGACACAAACAATGGTGTATTGTTGAAAGAATAGTGCAGCTAGCTGTATTGACCCTAGTACATGTAATCACCGTAAACTGTGCCTGGTTACTCAGTAGTGTCGCTATAACATTGTACTTTCCAACGAACAGTCAGACTATGTAAAGCGTGACGCGGTGTATTTTAATGTGCATTAAATATTTTGTAAACCCATAATAGGGATACACAGAATGACTACTAACTATACCTTTTCACCAAGCTTATACAAACCTGGTTACTCAGCAGTGTGGCTATAACATTGTGTGTTTTCCCACGAACAGTCAGACTATGTAAAGCTTGGCGCGGTGTATTTTAATGTGCATTAAATATTTAGTAAACCCATAATAGGGATACACAGAATGACCACTAACTATACCTTTTCACCAAGCTAGTTCATTTCCATTTTTATGTTATATTTCTAGGTTTTTTAATTACTGGTTTATTATCACCAAGACATATACAAACATTTGTGATTCTTAAAGATACGTGTGTTATTTTCTGATACAAAATTATGTGACTGGTGACCACAGTCGTTATAGTCTCTTCTCCTTTTTGCCTCACTACCGCAAGTACGTGACCGTAGTAATCCATATTTAAATGTCTCCGCTAAGGATCTAACCTTGGACTTCTGATGTATTATTCTGCACCAAATGAGCTACGAGAAATTCTCCTTAGCCATACAAAAAATCATTAGGAATAAGTTGTTTTTTACCAGAGTAACAGGGATCACATATGGATAAAGTTTACCATTACTAACTGCGCAACAAACTTCTGATGACACGATATTTCCATATTACAAAAAGAAATGTTAAACGCTTACACGGTGTTTACTCATAAAAGCGTTAAGCTGAAGGTATATGTTCCGAATATCTTCGTCTCCATTCCATTTTCGAACTGTATAGAGAGGTGGTGGGACGGACGAACGACAAAAAGTATCGCAAAGTAACGTTTGTGAATGTTCCTTCGCAACTGTCACAGATAATATAAACTTCATTTATTTTACAATAATTACGAAAACAACTTTTTACAACTTATACCTATCAATCTTGTTGGCCCGAATGTTAGCGCGCGGGGTTCTTACTATCGAACAAAAACCCGGAGTATCCGGAGAAAACCCACGTGGTCGGGAAGGTTATCATGACCCCATAATGTACTTTTCACGTCCTACCTGGGAATCGAACCCCGACCGCCTTGGTGAAAGGCAAGTGCGCTATCCACTGCGCCACCCGACCACCCAATAGTAGCATGAGACGACGAAGCGACCATTATCGTTCTGTCATTTTTTAACACTAGATAAACTTCATCAGTTAGCCATAAAAAGGAGTGGTTTCCCGTTTTAAAATATGTTTATGTGTATTTCCCTGATATATAACAACAGAAGAAGGAAGAAACATATTCTGTTGTCTGCTATTTTTATGTCATTTTCAATCGACAGGTATTTTCCTCGTGCAACATAACCAAAATATTTCAATATGGCGAGCAAAATCAGTTTTATACTGTATATAGATGACTTTCTTTAGGAATTATTTCAGAGGAGGGAATTCTCTAGTGTTTTGTGGCCAGGAGGACAGATATCCTAAATGAAAAATATATTTGAGATGTTTCCTGAATTTAGTAGGTCAATTACGTGTATCCGGTTCAACTAATTGACACGGTTGAACATGAAAGAAAACGACAGGCGCAGATCTGAACCGAGGCTGACCTCAGGAATATTCGGCACGTGCAGATTGAGGGGTCCAGACGTGCCTGACCGAAACTTAAATGCTGACTATTGCTAGTTTGCGTAATTTATTTATAAAACAAATTCATTTCACATGTATATATTCTAAATAAGTTAAATTATTTATTTGATGCATGGAGGAAGGAAATATTTTTTGTATATTGTTACTTATTCTCCGAAATTTTGCGTTATTTTAGCTCTGTCTTCAGTTCGGTCCTTTCTGCGCCATCTGAACCGTTTTAACCGGGATGCGCGAATGCAACCCTAGTCTGAGTTTATATCGCTGCGTTTTAAAAGGGAACCCTATATTACCAAATAACACCAAATTGTAGAAGTATGGTTAGGCACATACTTCATTTTGTCGGCAAATCATTGTTGTAATAAATGTATCACATGCATTATTTGCCATGTATACACGTCACATAATTATTCCTAAAGTCTTAACAACAAAAATAAATTTATTACAATGTACGTGACAGCTAAGCACGCCGGAGTCTTCTTCTAATATGTTTTTATTTGTATTAACATTTCAAGGTCAACCATTGTAATCTATGCTACGACAACATATTACGCTCTATAAAACCTGTAGTCGATGAATGGTATCCTCTCATCTGCTTAATAGTAGTCAAGCGGACGTAAAACCACTCACACTAACACAAACAAAGATATCCCAACTTCAGAGAAAAGCGTATAGACGAGGTTGTCCTTGTTCATTGTCAGATGTCAATCACGCATAAATCGTTCTCATTCATTGAAACGTAAGACCAGTTTCATATTCAGAGCATATCACGAACCATAAAACACCTATTTGGCTGTTTTATCTTATTGATAATACATAATATGATAATAATAATCAGGTCCCTTTCCGGTCAATTTTCGAAGCAGTTAATATGTCTACAATTCTAATCTACCTAAAATTGATGTTCTGTTCAAGAAGATATCACTTACCATGGCCTCTTTTGAGATTCCAGTTGACGTCTGTCTTATATCTTTATTTTTTTGTTTTTATTCGATATACTTCAATTAGGTATTTATTGGCCCTAATGCCATCTTCTGCATTTAAGCAAGCAATAATGAAAATTCAATTTGTCGCCAATCCTGTTTACCTTTAAATGTGAAATTCTTAAAAAAATACAACTGTATGTTTACTAAACATTTTATTGCAATCAAGCTATAATGTGATATAGCTAGCTTGCTTTACACTGTTCGCAGACAATAGCTTTGAGGGTCACAGTAGCTTCCTTGGCGGCCAGCAAGGACAACCCCGTCCTGTTCGGAGTTCGACAACAGCATGGTACTATGTCTTGGAAACTGCCATTCAACGATCCGGAACACACGTGAGTGTTGTAAATTACAGTGTGTGATTATTGTAAACTATATAACGATTGATACTAAGTCCAACGTTTACCGAAATCTGCACATAATTAATAAGCGCACTGTGCTCTGATTGGTCGATATCCAGTCTGCATTATCCGCAAGATGACTTGCTTCAAAATCGTTCGATTTTGATGACACTTGCTTTGCATGTTCATGTATTATACACTAAGGCTTAGTTTGAAGTTGAACAAAAAACAACTGGTTATTATACTGTGAATATATGACTGCATTCTGATGAAATTTATGTTGTATAATGGCAAATGCTAACCTTAAAAGTGAGCAAAACCTGGACATGATTTATTACTGCTATCTGATTGGTCGGCGGTTGCCACACTATAACTTGGTAAAATATGACAGGATTCTGATAAGACTTATGAGGTTTATAGAAATACCTTTAATTAAAATAATCGACTATTGGCAAATAGGGACAATTTCACTTTCTTTTATCATTGTTTGAAATATATAAAAAGGAAGACAATGCTATTAAAATCAAGATTGTGAACGTCATAAAGAGTATAAGAAATAAATATATTCCTTTTGGTAAAGTAGAGTATGTTTCATCACGTTCCAGAATTAGCTTTTAACTTAATGAGTACTACAGTACACATGTCGTTCTTACATTCAGAGACAATAATACATCAGAATGATTTATAGTATGTCACATTGCCATGGGACGGGCGTGTATTGTTCCGGCCTGCAGTACCCTTCTCTTTTTTAGCCAAAAACATCGACAAGTTGACTGAAATAATATTTTACTTTTGATTTGTCAGTTGTATACGGTTTTACGTCCTACCAAAATCTAAGGTCATGTAGGTATACGTGTGTGTGTTTGTGTGTGCGGGAGACTGAACGTGTAATTGCCTCCTTAGGAAAGCACGGTTTTGATGCCGACTTTATAGTGTTGCTTGAAGACTATGCCAAAGACATCCAGCACATCACTCCATTGCAACGCTTTCGGACCGTCTTTTCTTTCTCACCCACTCCTAGTTTTTAATGAAGTCTGTCTCCGCACTGGTCTTTGCTTGGATGTATGTATCGGGTTTAACGTCCTGGAAAAGCCAAAATGTTGTGCTGAGTGCCTTCGGCATGGTATTTCAGTGAGATAGCACTATAAAGTCGGCATCAGATACTGCTATCACAAAGTGGCAAGTACACCAACATAACCTGTCTCCGGCACACATACACACTTGCACGCTTACACAACGCACATGGAGGCACGTCCTTAAATGACCTTATCTGTTAATGGGACGTCAAACAAAATAAAACCAAACCAAAACATTCGTAACAGCCAAGGTGATATGGAGACTGGTGCTTAGGGAGACACCGCCGAGAATGAAAGAATAGAGAGGTGAGAAAAGAGACCTAACGGTTGTAATGGAGGGGGAGCAACTGTTCTTAATTCAGTGTTCCCAGTAACGGAAGAAAAGTCACGATTCTGCAGGAGCCCCTTATAAGGCATACTTTAGAGTATCCTCCTTTCCTTCCTCATTAGTTAAGACCAGCTGGCATTGTCTGTGTCTGTTAGTTACATTTAGGTTGAAGGAACAACGGTTTTTAGGAATTTATATGCTTGATGGTTGCATTAATTTTGCTTTTCTGAGTGTCTCGGTGATTAAACCACCGAAACACATGGTAATGTTGATAATATATAAGTATATACCCTATGCAGGTTCTGGGATATATTAGGCCTGCTGCATCCCAGTGTATGTCGTAAAAGGCGGCTTACATGGAAACCCCTGCAGAATCGGAACTTTTCTTCCGTGTATTCTACGAAGAGGAGATGGAAAAATTTCAAAATCGATCTTCTACACCACTTGAGACCTTTGTATTTACACTCACTTCTTTATTCTTTCATTCATTTCCCTAGTCACCCGTCTTTATTTGACCTCAACAGTTGCGAGGAATTTAAATCCCAAATAAACACATTTTTTTATTGACCTTGTTTTACAGCTCCACATACAATGTGGTAAGCCGAAATCTGTGTCCATTCCCTGTCACCAACAAAAACTCTTCTGCCATGTACCAGACAATATTTGTGGACGTTTACTCGTTTTCTATCAACCTCTTGCCTTTTTCAATCCTTGTTGATTTCGTGAAAGATTTCAACCTCAGGTAATATGTGTGGTGTTTTAGTATCATAATACATTTAGTTCATTAGCTCATCTGGTCCTAAGGACCGATAAACGTATGCAAAGGAGCGTCGTCCGTCCGTCGGTCCGTCCGTCCGTCCCTTTTCCATAAACAAGAGGCCCGATGGGCTTGCATCAATCAGTTGGTATTAATCTTACACCTGTTATCTTAAAAGTGATCTAAAATAAAGCTACAGGCAAAATATCAGTATTTATGACAATAAGCCATCCAAAAGAACCTGTGAAAAGATTTCAAATCGTTTGACCCATGTGACCTTGAAAACTAATAAGGTCATTACGTTGAACAATTTTGTAAGCCCTTCATCTCATAATACAACTTGCCAAACATCATCACCATATAGACCTTTCGTTTCTCAAGATTAGGTCATTTCAATGTTAATACATATTTGACTAAATGTGACATTGAAAGTGGGTCAATGTAATTCAAATAAACAGGTGGCTTAATGGGCCTGCATCCCCCACCTGGTATTAATCTCACACTTGAAACCATAAAAGTGATATAAAATAAATTTAAAGACAAAATATCAGTAGTTATCACCATAAATCATTCAAAAGAACCTGTTAATTTTTATTAAAACATTTGACCCTTGTGACATTAAAATTCGAACAAGGTCATTCTATTGAATACACTTTATAGCCCTTCTTCTAAGCATGCAACTTGCAAAATATCACCACCGTAGACCTTTTGTTTATTGAGATTAGATCATTTAATTGTTTATACATTTTTGACTAAATGTGACATTGAAAGTGGGTCAAGGTCATTCAAATATAAAAGCTTGATAGCCAATCATCCTAACATGCTATTGGCTAGATATCAATATTCTAGCCCTAATTGTTATTCAGAAGAAATTATATAAAGTTTTAAACATATTTGACCCCTGTGACCTTGAACATGAGTGAAGGTCATTCATTTAAACAAACCTGGTCAGATATCATTATCCTAGGACTTTTTGTTATTCAGAAAAAAATCGTTTAAACATTTAAACAATTTAGCCATGTGTCCTTGAATAAACTTGGTACCCCTACATGATGGCTTCCTCTAAGCATGCTACTGGCCAGATATCAACACTCTAGGCTTAATGGTTATTCAAAAGAAGTCGTATTACGTTTTCAACATATTTGGCCCTGTGACCTTGCATATGAGCGAAGGGCATTAATTTTAACAAACTTGGTAGGCCTTCATTCCATCATGTCACAGGCCAAATATCATCATCCTGCGCCTTTTTGTTATTAAAAAAGTTGTTTAAAGGTTTCAAACATAGTTGACCACTGTGACCTTGAATATGGGTGGTGGTCATTCATTTGAACAAACCTGGTAGCCTTTTATCCAGGCCTGCTACTAGTCAAATATCAACATTCTGTACCTCATGGTTATTCAGTAAAGTTTTTTTTTTATAAATATTTGACCCCTGGCTATTCAGAGGAACTTATTTAAAGTTGTTTTTAAAACAATTGACCCTTGTGACCTTGAATATGACAAACTTGGTAGCCCTTCACCCCAGCAGGCTACTGACAAACTATCTACATCCTGGTTCTTTTGGTAATTCAAAAGAAGTTGTTTAAATGTTTATAACATATTTGACCGCTGTGACCTTGAATATGGGTGAAGGTCATTCATTTGAACAAACTTGGTAGTCCTTCATCCCAGCTCACCCGGCCTTGCACCCTGCAGGTAGTGCGTAAGAATTGTACCTGCTGCCCCCAATTGCATGATCGTAAGAGGCGACTAAATTTGGGACCTTATCTCTTCTCTCCTTTCTAAATAACTTTCTTCTTTCTAATGTCTCCCTTGACAATGCCTCACTTTTGGCCATTTGTTGAGCGTTCGCCCCTGTGAGGAAGGCTTAGGGTTCTGTCCCCTGGCCGAGACATACCAAAGTCTTTAAAAATGGTAGTTTATACTAACGCTCAGCAAATTAGGAGTGGGACGACTGGTTCGCCCGTTGTCAGTATAATGTGACCGGGTGGGGCGTCCTGCTGGGTGTCTTCGGCAGTATGTTTCAGTGAGGTAGCACTATAAAGTCGGCATCAGTTCCGCGCTATCACAAGGAGACAAACACGAACATATCGCAGCCTCCCAAAATACACACACATACACTACACGCATGCATCTTGCACACATGGGAGGCCGTCCTTAAATTACCTTAGCTGTTAATAGGACGTTAAACAAAATCAAACAAACAAACAATCACCCGGCCTTTTCGGCCAGGTGAGCTAAAAACCATCAAAACATTAGACAGGGGAAGCAGAATTTTATTAAATTTGATTGGTGTGCCCCCTCCCTTCCAAGGCCCAATACGGGAAAGAAAGATTAAGCATAAAACTACCTCTGCATGAATAAAGGTATTTTCACAAAATTTTCTGAGCTAAATGATCTTAATTTTATATAAATTTGGGATGTGCTGACAGAGCCAAAATTGAAAAATACATAATATTTTATATTATATTCAGTTATAATATGTTTGTCATGACTGACTAAATTACTTGAAGAGCGATATATCTCCATTTACTGTTACATTTTATTTCATTACAGTATAGCTGGTAATTTTGTGGGGGATTTTATTTTGCTATGTTTGCGGTCACCAAAGATAGCTCATATTTAAATTCTAAGCGAACATTTATGCAAGGAATAAACAAATATAAAATGTAAAAGCATGTTCACTATATTACTGGTGATACACGGAGATAACACATCCGTTCAATATTGTATTTTACGTCATTTTGATAAATGGCTTGTAAAAAAATCTCATTTGACATTGTCACCCTTTACGTTACTAAATGCCATTTTATCGTTAATATACCCGAATTTGCAAAGTCAGCTGCAATTTTTTGCCACCGAACAAAAATATTTTCAACCACGAATTCATTAATTCTCATGAAGTATTGTGTTTTGTTATGCATTGTTTCACTTGTACCGTTTGTATATTCAATGTAGAATTGATGAGATCAGGAATGTGAATATTGCGCCATCCGAACCTAAGTACTTCATGTACACCTTTCCTGACAACGTCGACTCTGTGTTAGTGCATGCGAAATCTGACAGCGACCTCTGCATGATATTCTCCGTGCAGGATGTTAAGGTAGGTATTCATGTTATTCCTTGATAGTACAAGCGAAATCTGACAGCGATCTCTGCATGATATTCTTCATCTAACGTCTCTGTCTCCGTGCTTAACGCTCAGCTTTTATGGTAATAGCAACAACTGGTTCGCCCGTTGTCACTATAATATGACGGGTACACTACTGTGCTGGGTGCCTTCGGCATGATATTTCAGTGAGATAGCACTATAAAGTCGGCATCAGATCCGCGCGAAGAGGCAAAAACACAAACATAACTTGTCTCCGGCATTCATACATACACGCAGGATACACAACACACATGGAGGCGCGTCCTTTAATGAACTTTGCTGTGGAAAGGACGTTAAACCCTATACAACACAAACACCAATACACTGAATATTTGCTGTCGTAAAGATATACACGGCTATTTAGAAGAATTTGCAGCGCCATTATATTTTGAAATTTGAACGAAATCGAGCAATACATGCTTGAAGCTCCATTCATAGCAATCAAAATAAGAGACTAGGGGATTGTTCATTTATGTGGAATAAACGGTTTGCCTGTTTTCAAATATAACATAGCGGGTTTTAATACTAGCGGACCTGCAAATGTTTTGTAAGGCTTTGTGAAGGCTCGCCTGAAAGCAGTATCAGATTACTAGATCCGACCTTATTCATAAACGAACAACTTTGGTCCAACTGATTAAACCGTTTTGATCGCGGTTAATGAAAACTGCCCAGGCAATCATCTTGTCTTATTAACGACTCTATATTATTCCTTAGCTTCTAAGCTAATAGCTTTTCATATTTGAAGTCCAGCACTAGGGACAACTGCCTAGATTCATAAACACATGCATGAAAGGCTGCAAAATTCAATAAATAATAATCTGTCAACAATTACATTATTCAGAGGCACTGTATTTTACGGTATCAAATCTTAGGTAGGGATTTCAATCGTATGATGCGTGTGTTCTCATTCCTACAACCACTATAACCAAATAGCCATTTTCCAAAAGAAATGTTAACTTTGTTGTTTACTCTCATGCACAATCGTGAAAGCATACTGTTTTCCTTATGATCTGTAAAAAAGAGCCTTAGCCAATCAAAGGGTGCAGAATCATTTTCGATGCACAAGTGCATAAAAAAGACGAAGGAATGGATAGATATCAGAACATGACCTTCAATACGCATGTGAAGTTGGATTTGATCCCTACCAAAATTTGGTAAGAGGATGGTCGGACGAAAATGTAAATGGGATAATAATAACGCAAAAAGGAGTAAGACACATCCAGTACCTTACGATTTGTTTGTAGGACTTCATGAACAAAAATTTAAACCCAGCACCTAAATATCTACAAGGGCTAGCAGTGCGATGATACACATCCATACAATTTTTTTATCGAAATTTCAAATGCCTAGCCTATTAAAAGCTATGTCACGGCAGCCATCTTGCCAAATCAGGAAACGGAAGTCGCAATGCATGTACATACCACATGGAAGTCGAACAATTACACATACAATACGAAATGGAATGGGTGCAGAGGGGAGGGGCCTATTCGAATAACTTATGGTAAATCTTTAAAATCCTTCAGTACAATTGAAGGGGGTTTAAAGCAAATTTGATCCAGAGCATGGTTGGGGAAAGAGGACTTCATTGCGTATAACCAGAACGTTTGCCACATGGGAGCAGAGGATCAGGCCAACGGTCTTCAGTAAGATTTGAAGTTTTTAAAATAAATTTTGTGTAGAGCATACTTGGGCAAAGGGTACTGCATTTTGTACAAAAGAAGGGTGCCACTCCCTCCTCTTCTCCTTTCTGACAATTTGAGGCATTTTGCCGAATTTGGTGTAGACCTATCTTTGGAAAGGAGGACTCAATTTGTATGACTGGAGGTTGCAGCATCTATTCTGTCTTTGCTTATTTCAGAGTTATCTTCTCTTGTGAGTAGGTATTGATTGGTACGTCATTTGTTTGTGAGAGTAACGTCAATTTTTGAGAAAACGACGTAATTTTCTCACAAAAACCAATGACGTAACAATCAATACCTGCTCACAATAGAAGATAATTCTGCAATACTTAGAGACGGATTAGGTGTAGAGGTGCGGGGCCCAATAGGGATACATTCTTAAAACGCTTCTTTCTTAGGAAGAGAGGAATTTTAGAAGAATTTGCCGTAATTATCTCATAACAAAGAGGAATCTTTTTTCTATAAACAGAAAAGTGTACCCCCTTCCTTCCCCAGTTGTACAGGGGCGCGACCCTATAGGGAGAATGCAGGGATTTGATTTTAATTTCCTCTCCTTCCATACAAATTGAGTGATTTTAAACAAAAAATGGTGATGAGCATCCTTAGGCAATGTGGAATCAATTTTGTATAGATAGAGGATGTAAACTCGTGTGATGTATTTGACATTGACTTGATTGTTTTTCAGTGTCCTGTATTTGACCTTGAACAAAGTGTTGAATTTTCTGGTATACATCAAACAATGACTAAACAGGCGACCATTACCGTCAAGGTAGGTGTATTCATAGTCCTGACTAACACATGCATGCTTTAACGATATTGTGAACAAATACATGATACTGTTTTAAATAACAACGGGATAAATGAGACTGGTCAATCCATTTAAACATCAAAATTGCTTATTGTCACATTTTGTTAATTGCTATTACGAATTCCAATTTCGATATCAACAATATCTAGATGTATAGGAAAGCCTGTTGTATTCCACTGTGTCATCTTTAGAGGTCGGGGGCTGCAGAAGTGGTTTCTTCCTTGTCTTCTATTTAGAGGAAATTGCAATAATCAAGAATAGACTTGCTGTATCGCACTGCGTGTGTATCGTAAGAGGCAAATAATGTGGGCCCCTGGGGAAGAGTCGGGGGATTTTTTCCTAAGTCCTTTACGAAGTGGACATGGAAGAGAATAATATTGATTTGCTGCCCCCATTGCACTATTTGGGAACTTTCAAGTTCCTGTATTCTTTATTTTCAATCTACTTCCTGTTTCAGGTCTCTCTAGGCATCCGTCCTCATAAAACCCCGGTAGCTGTGAGGACGTTAAACCATAAACAAATAAACACATCAAAAAAGGATATAGCTATTGTTAATGAAGAAGTACATAAATCTTGCAGTGATGTAATGTATTTTACATACTTTGCAGAAATCTAACTACGACCAGAAGTCGTTCTACATCGTGACGGTACTGAAGCCCTCTGACTATGCCTGTAATGGCAAGGAGACAACGCAAGCTCCTGATTATTCACGCAAGAAGCAGCTAACACTTCAGGTGCATGGCGGTATCAGTAGTATGTATATATCAATTATGTATGGTTATATGACAATGTTCGATATTTTAACAAGATCTCTTGTCAAAACCCTAAAGAATGACTTAGTATATATTGAATACATAGTTTTTGTGTCGGTACAATGCGATACGTACTCTGTCACCTTTGTCAGACAAAATCATATTGTACTTTCCACTGGTGTTAAATGAATATATATCAATATGTCCAGTATACATATTGATTGTATAAGAACAGTTTTAGAAAACTACAAGACGAGAGTTGGTTTCACTCGTTCCTTCTTTACAATATATCAAACGTAGTGTAATTGTCTCGTTGGAAATAAATCCCCGATGCTCCATGAATTTATTTGAAAGTTGTCCATCTGCTTTCCTAAAGAGCAGGTTGACCGGCATACAATCGGTCAGAGCCATATTATAACAATCTGAAGCCTAAAGTTCGAATCCTGGTCTACAAGGTTCACATTTAGAACACTTCTTAATTGTATTTTGTTTATTTCATCTCAGGTATTTTTGTACGGATACCGGAAGGTTTTGGTTTTCTTTTCAGAAAGTTTCTACTGTGTGGGTAGTGGTACGGTAAGACGCTTATATATTTCCATATTATTTTTTATATTTCAGGTGAGATGTATGTTTGGCCCATATTAGCTGCTTTGGCCGTATTTATCATATTTTATATCGTTGCTATTGTGCAGTGCAGAAGGTGAGCATCTGTGCCATGTAAATGTTTAATTTATGATCTTAAAAGTAAATACACCAGATACCTCAAAGTGTGTTCCCCTGTCTGTCTGTCAAAATCAATTGGTGAATTTATGTTGCTTTGTAACACTTGTAATAAAAACGTCAGGAGTGGTTCCGTCCCTCAATAATATGGTATATGGGAATTGTGTAAATTTGTCCGACGAAATATATATATTAGGATTTAAAACGTGACACGTTTGTGTTATCATCATAACGCCCAAAAATTCAAAAAAGTAATAACTAACTTTGGTAACTGCTTTGTGATTCAATAAAGAGTTAATCCTGGTATATGTAAATATAATTTATCGTCTCAGACTCCTATCATCAATCACTGTTGAAACCGATTTGTCCTTAATCTTTTGTTTTGTTTTTAATTGTAGAAAAAGGAAATCATGCGTTTGCAGTTGTGTTGAAAAGGGTAAGTTTCCATGTTTTACAATATCGTTTCCAGTTTCTATACAATGTTCATGCATAAGATACCTATCCGGATAAAGAGGGTAAGATGGGTTAAAAGACTTAAAAGACAGAGTCAATAAAATAGATCGATGTTCTTCAAAAAGTTAAATAATGCCTTCGAGTCCACGGAAGTGAAAAGGGTTTTCATATCCGGGACTCGAAAGTAATGATAACGATTGTGTCTGAAATCAGAACATTCTAATAAAAAAAAGTTTCACTGTAAATGGAGTGTCAATTGCGTGGCATGTAGATGGATCTTCTCTTTTTAAAAGGAACGAATGAGTAGGATAAGTGTGACCAGTACGGAGCCGAGGGAGGTAAACTTCCTCTCTGTGATCTTTCCGACTGGGAACACATGTTTTAAGTTTCATGAGTACTTTTAAAAGTTTGTTGCTGGTCTCGAGAGACCAGCGCGCGAGACCAGCGTTGTCGTCATTTTTTTTTTGATTGGTAGTATGGATAAAAGGTTTAAAATCTATAAATTACAGTTTGATATCTGTTTGCTGGAAATTTAACGCATTTTTGCTTCTCTGCGTCACAAGTTCGTTGCCTTAAATTCGACATGGCTCAGAATCTTTAGTAAAGTAATTTTATATTTCTTTAAGATTTGAGATATAAAAAGAGTGAGGTTTTGTACGTGTTTTTAGGATCTTGTAACTGTAAATGTCGTAGGACAGAAAGTGAGTCTGAACATACGATTGCCTTTCGAGGGCCAAACCGATGGCGCATGCTTCGGCAGAAAAGATAGAAGCGCCACACGTCTGGTAGTCGAAAAGAAGTGCAAGTGTTAGCAGAACAGTAGGCTGCTGCAAGATTTTTGTTATACGGGCATTACACTGGATTTCCACCGATCTTGACCGTGAAAGTACATTGAAGGTCAAGGTAATTTATTTGTGGAAAGTTTATAGCACTCTGTGCCAGGTATCTATTTGCAAAGTAACAGTAATCTGGGCCTCCTGGTTATTATGCAGAATATATTTAAAGGTGTTTAACCATTGTGATCTTCAAAGTAGGTCAAAGTCATTTATTTGAGGAACATTATAACACTTGATGCCAGGTTCGTGCTTGCCAAGTGAAATTACTCTTGGCCTCCTAATTTTTCAGAAGAAGTTTAAAGGTTTTTACATATTTGACCCCTGTGACAATGCAAGTAGATCAAGGTCATTTATTTAGGGAAAATTTATAGCAATCTGTCCCAGGTACTAACACACCAAATATCATTGCTTTAGCCTCTTGGTTATTCAGAAGTTTTAAAAATGTTTTTACAATTTTGAACCTGTGACCTCAAAAGTAGATCAAGGTCATTTATTTGAGAAACAAATATAGCACTCTGTTCTAGGTACCTACTGGCCAAGTATTATTACTTTGGGCCTCCTGGTTATTCAGAAGAAGTTGTATACATGTTTTTACATATACAAGTTCAATGACCCTGAAAGTAGGTCAAGGTCATTTATATGACGGAAATGTATAGCACCCTGTCCCAGGTAGCTACTGGCCAAATATCATGGCGCTAGGTCCTGAAGATCTTAAGAAGAAGTCGTTGAAAGGAAAAGTGGATTTTGTATCAGGTGAGCTAAAAACGAATATATGCACTAAGGTGTAGAAAAAAATGAGAAAAAATTGCATACATTTTTCATCAGTTACATTTGGTTCTTTTTCACTTGAGAAAAGTCCTTTTTTGCACTTAAATAACAGTTTGAACTTTAAGAAAAAATACCTTTTGCACTTGAGTACACAAAAACTTGACACAATGGCAAACATTTTTTGTCATATGTTGTAATCTTTTCACAAATTTACCCTGAAATGAAAAAAAGTGTACTCAAGTACAGAAAAACTAAAAACAAAATAGCGAACAATTTTTGTTCATTATGTAGTAATCATTTTACCTCATTTACATTTAAGTTAAGCAGTTTTTCAGAAATGGATGCCGTGCGTTTAATTTTGGTATGTTTTTTCTACGTATGATTCGGCACATCAAACATGGATATCTGTTCGTTGACCTCAATTATCACTGATGAGTCTTAAATGGTCGCAATGGTTAGGTAAATATTTACTTTGTTTGGCTTTACCTTTCAACAAACAATATTTTTAAGGTGATTCGTTACTTCGTGTTCTTGGAAATAGTTTACGTTACGACTCTGATTCTGCTGGTGGACTATCAGTTATCGAGGTTGGACGTAATCTTGTAGCTTAAATGAATGGTGGCACGTCACTTCCTTACGTCGGGTCTGTTGACAGAAAGTTAGATTACTGTAAGGAGTAATCGTCTAATGTGTGTTATTTTTGCTTGGTTCTTAACACGGATGTTTATATTGTTCCTTTTTTTTCTGATTGCAGAGCCACATGACTTTTGTTGGTAGGTATTGTCTAATTAACCGTATAAACTATGAACATTTTACTTATATTTTCCTTAAATATAACTCTGAGGATATATATTGTCTTCCTTGGCCATCAATCAAGCAACTTCATTTCGACCGTCCGTTAATGTCGAATTTCCCCATTTCTTGTCAAACCTATTTGGTTTCTTCCGCCATGCAATTTATGATTTGCAGAATTATTGCCCTTTAGGCAGAACAAACATGTTCAGAGAACAAAGCCCTTAGTTTCAATTTTATTTCTTTGGAACTTGCCGGCATTGATCCCCTTTGGTACAAGCCGTTTGGGTTTCATGACAAGTTACAGAGTTTCTGCCCTTTTAATAGTTGACGCATTTTAAACTTACGTTTTTTTTCAAACCCCCATGCGGCGCAAAGCGCCGCCGGGGGTTGATATGTAAACACTTTGTCCACTTCCGGTGCTTCTCCATGCTTGAAAGCCTTCTGGGAAATTGAGGCCGCATATTGTCTACAAAAAACATAATGATCAATCCTACGGTGTCGGTATTTATTACAGTTTAGTAGTCAAATATCATGAATTTTCATTTGATAATAAACATATATTTAATGTTGTGAAGATAAACGAAACCTAATATCTTCAAAAGTAAAAACTTCACTTTTAGTATTGTACAATCTGAACGGTACATTATATTCTCTGCGTAGATTTTCAGTTTCAAGTTTAGATAAAGTGACGGCAGAATAAGTGGTTGTGTTTTCTACCTTTGCAGCATACATTATTGTTTTTACATAACTACACAATCAATATCATTTTGTCCGGAAATCTTACCAAATAATATGAGCAAACGGCAAAATTGCAGTGAAAACCTATTCAAAATGGCGCAAGCGTGACGTCATTACAACTTGGCGTCAATAACCACGTAACACATTACCGCGATTTTCTGGTGTAGCAATATTTGCTCAGCGTGACATAAAAAAAAATGTCAGAAATAGAAAATGCCATGGTTTTCCCGTTCAATTCGATATATTTATTTCACTTATATAAAACGAATATGTGATAACAACCAAAAAATCAAGCGTTGTGGCAAAATGTGTCTTCGCAGAAGTCTAGAGAAGCAATAACTGATATGCAATGGGGCGGGGGCTACGATTGACGCTTTAACCTAGAAGATGGTTGATATTTATCCAAAATAGTCAAATAGGTACATTGACAAAAGAAATATTTGCAAAAATCGCTGCAATTTTAACAAAATGTATAAATGATTTTGTATGTTAATCATCTTATGTCCCGGCTTCTCTATCTCAGAAGATGATGTTATTATTTAATCGTTGACATTTAAGCCTAAACGTGCGGTTAAAACTGTACATTTGCGTGCTGTGGTGACAAAGGTGGAAAATGAAAGGCTATTGAGCGTACACGGAATATTTTAAACGACGAAATTAATGTCATTAACAATTTTTATAATTATAATTAAACAGATTCAAGTATGCAGGATCCGTTCCCTCGTGGTTATCAGTAGGTCATTTTCATAAAATGGTTTGGTGTCCAGCAGCTTTGCTGCATTTTCTTGTTACTCAAGTGTTTATCGCTGCTATCAATTACCTTCCTTGATCAAATGACTACCATGATATACAGTGTAATAAAGCCATCGAGAAATAACCTTTACAGATTGTCAAAATCATGTAAACGTGCTTTAGTTCCTATGGTCTATTTTAACTATACACTCTTATTTGCAGCAATCTTTTCACTATTGCAATTTTCTACGGCCTCCCTGTCGTACAGCTTGTGATGACCTACCAAACGGTGAGAAAAATTGTGTTGCTTAGCAGACAAATGTCACTCTAACTCTTAAGCTTATCATTTCTCTAGTAGAAGAGATAGTCTCAACCTGTGCGAAAGCGCGTGATCATGGGTAGAAACTTCTCCATGATACCTTAACGCATGGTAAGAAAGTGGAGAAAACAGGAGTTCGTTATTGACAAAATGATAGTTAAAAATTCTATAGTTTAAGATGGCTTATTTTAGGAAAATGCAAGATGTATGGAGTTTTATTGTTTTAAGAGACAGAAAAAAAGGCGAAAATTACAAAATCCCAGCAGAGAAAATAGCCTTCGAAGCGTTTAATAGAATTTGCCTTATTTCGAACAAAACACTTAAAATAACTTTACTTTTCAAAATGACTGCATGTTAATAATTTTGAATATAAATTAGTGCCATGACTTGATATCAAAGTCTAAAATAAATGAATATTTCAGGAATTACACATCAAAACTGCCAAGGGGTGGGATGTAGATATATTTTCCCTTGCCGTGAAATCAGACGAATTCATAATTATTTATATTTACCATTGAATTCTGAAATGACTGGTTCGGATTGCGATACTGTGCCATTTGACACCTGAAATAACTGTTTAACAGGGGTTAGAGTCCTCTGGAGACCAGGATATTTGTTACTACAACTTTGAATGCTCGCGACCTCTGGGTGTACTCAGTTCCTTCAACAATGTCTTCAGTAACATCGGTTACATCTTGCTAGGAATATTGTTCCTACTGGTGGTTTGGAAAAGGTGAGTCAAACGTATTCTAAGTTTTGTTATTAATATTATTATGTGTCTTTAAGAAAAAATCCTCATTAGGTATTAAAACACCAAACATTAAATGATAATAATAATATTTCGAGGTTCTTATATACCGCTTTATCACAACCTAGTTGGTAGGTCGTCTCAAAGCGGGTTTGAAGGTGTGGTTGAGTTTTTTAATGCTGTATATTCAAATGCTTTAAACTAAAAAAATATCAAAAATATTTTGAAGTACATGGTGAATGCATTTGAATAATTGTAGCTGTTGCCAACGAGCTAGAATGTTTTAATTTTTGCTATATTATAGCGACCTGAGCAGCGAAAATAGGCAAGGGAACCTGGGAGAGGAGACGGTAATATTGTTTTGTTATTTTGTGTCTCTGTTAAGCAAAATTAGGCGATATGGGCTGTAATGTATTTGATTGCGCATTGCAGACCACTTTTACTCGCATTCCTGTGCATGTTAGACAAAACTATCCAGAGTACGAAAATGCTTTATGAAAATTTAGCATGGGGGATAACTCTGTCTGAGGTACGAGATTATCCTGTATAGATATGTAGAACACGGGCATGCTGGCGGAGGGGTTTTACGAAGGTCATCTTAATTCAGCAGTTTCTGTGTTTGTTTGTGGATGTAGTAATTAAAAAAATCGGAAGCAATTGGTATAGAATAACTGTAAGAAGTTTCGACGGGTTTGTGATGTATTGTATTGATTCGACTGCCATTAAAGCCAAGCCACCGAAAGCCCAAACAGACTTAACTCATTCACCCCTGAAGACACATTTGAACTCTTCCAATTCAAAGGTTAGAAAAGTTGGTCATGAAATTTCAGGTGTAAATGAGTTAATGAGTTGAATGTCATGCACGACATCAATAATTTTATAAGGTCACAAAAGTATCCAGTGTTCAAATGGTCAGCAGGATCAGTTTTATTTAATTTTAATGTGATGTTTGTGACACAGGAAAACAAAGATTTACTATACGCCATGGGACTGGGTTTGGTTATGGAGGGCCTGATGAGTGGTTGCTACCATGTTTGTCCCAACCGCTCCAACTTCCAGTTCGGTAAGTTATTTGAATGGCTGTTGAAAGTAAAAAAGTATGTTATTTGATGCAATAATCTTAAATAGAATTACTGTGTTTTGAACTCATCGAAGATTTGAAAGAATTTTCATAAATACTATATTGATATTTTACATAATGTTTCATCTTAGTCATTGGTGCTTTTTTGTAGACACCTCCTTCATGTACATACTTACTTTCTTGTGTATGCTGAGGGTCTTGCGATGTCTAGATCCTAACATCGCCCCCACGGCTCGCAATTCGTACTCCGTTATGGCCATCGTTGTGTTTATAAGTGTACTTGGTGTGGTAAGTAGCATTCTCATTGGGTTCAACTTATGGTGCAAGCCGTCGTTAGCGTTGGCAGTGCATCATCATTCTGTGGTCGTTTATTCATCCCCTGTACAACAAAGATGACGGGGGATGCAAGTGTTTCTATTTTTGTTATATTTCCTGCTACCATAGAAACATATATCCAAAAATGTAAAGGCCATTTTTGCATGGTGGGTTCTTTTTTAAAAGAGTTGAAGACAACTTCACAAAACTTTTATTTTTCGATGTAATTCCTATTGCCATTGACACAAATTGTCAAAAATTCAAATTATCGTTTCGGAGCATATCTAAAAGACTCTTCAAGTTAACTTAAAAAATTAACTTTAGCATAACTGTAACTTTAGCTGTAAGCGGGTTTTGTTTTTGATTCTTTTCCTGTACCTTCAGAAACAAAAGATAAAAAAGCAAAGTTTTCCGTTTCTTGGGCATATCTCCAGAACAACAGATGACTTTGCAGAACATTCAATTCAATTCATTCAGCTGCCAGATCTGACACAAAGATGTTCACCTCGTGACCACATGTAAAAAAATAAAATAAAACATATCACGATTTGGTGGTTATGCTTTTGAATATAATATTTTTGTTTAACCATATTCAGTCATTTGCCCTAATAGTTTGGTAATGTCTTTATCGCAGACCTTGAATATCTGTCATACTTCCCTGGGCGGGAGATCTGAATGATTTTGTCCCTTTTATTATATTATCTTTGTGTGCCCAATTCGATATGTGAACATTTTGTGGACTTGAAAGCTAATTTGATTTTTATAATTTTGGAACCAATAACTTTAAGGACCCTGTTAAATCTTAGATATAATTATAATCATGTGTAATGTTTACAAGTTTGCACTTTTGAACACATGCTCCATTTTAAGACTTGATAGTTCAAACACCTTTGAATATTCTGTTTGTTCCTTGTCCTTGTTAGTGTACAGTGTAATGTGAATTTATTCGTCGGTCAATGCTGTTTAACTTACATGCATTCCCGACTTGCATTTTACTTCCTTAACATGTATTCATTTAGTAAATTTAGTAAGAATATGATATAAATAACCATGTTTGTATTTTTTCACTTTTGCTATATTGACATGTGTTGTTGGTATTTGTATATGAAATATTTGGTTAAAGACCTATTTGTAGTAATGAAAATGACATATGTTTTAGCTTTTCGGTACAAACATTTTCTGGATTCTGTTTGGCGTCGTCAACATACTTGCTACTTTGTTTCTCCATCTCTATGTATACTTCATTGGTGACAAACACGAAGAAACTTGTAAGTACTTTATTATTTACATATAAGTATTATTTAGCATTTCAAGAAGCAACACACTGTTTGTTTCATTGGTCCATACATGGTTTGGATGTTTTGGCCACGTACTCAATCAAAATTCAAAAAAAAAATTAATGAAATTTTTCAAAATAAATCACTGTTTATGAAATGAATAATGTGCATGTAGCCCCGATGCTATGCTGAAAAGTTTAACATTATAAAAACTAAAGTAATCGAAAAAGTACTTGTTGACTTGTATGAACATGTATGTAGCCTATATTGATCAACCAATATCTGATATTTACTGATCTAGAGATAATTTTAATACTGCTTTCAGAATGAGGCAAGATAAAATTTATTTAAAGTCAGCTAGTCGAGAGATAACAATAAAACATAAACTCTAATGAGATTAAGACCGACATAACAATATGGGAGATCGGGGCAAATTCGGCACATTTTTATTTAAGTCCGTTCTGGGTAGTATTGCATTACGTCGGTTATTGAACATTATTTAATTTTCCCTGTCGGATGATCGGATGACCGAACGAGCCCCACAATGGGATAAGTTCGAACAGGCATTCAGGTTAGTTCGGCACCATTAGAATCAGCTTAATTATGATGTTATAAAGCCTGCAACGTCAGATTTTATCGCCAATTTTACGACTTTTTATGTGTTACATGGGCCGAACTTGCCACGGTACCATTGGCCGAAACTGTCCGGGCCCAAATTTTTATTTTAATATATTCTTACAGTACACCAATATGGAAGTGAGTGCTTAGCTTTGCTTTTATGTACATGAATATCATTTGAAGCTGTCAGTGTGTTACACGTTTGACCGTAAAAAATAGCAATTCCGTTTACAGAAAGTTCGCATGACTAGATGCGAGATCATTATTTTGTTTCTACCCTCTCAAAAGTATTTTTCTTCTGTTTAGTAATTTTACTTTAGAGTTTACCTCGCCATTTTTTCGTGTGAATGCCCAGCCAACTAAACTGCTAAGATATTTTAAGTTGTAAATGTTGTGGCGAATCACGGCTCCAATTTGCCGTTAAGTAGTATGTCCCTCATTTTGTTGATAACCTTCGCTGTCAAATAGACGCTTGAAGTATACATGTGTTTATAGGATTTTATGTAAACGTTTTAATGACACTGAAGAATCATAGGTGGCGCTAAGTTCGTCTGGCAGCAGACTATAAAAAGCCGTCGGCTAACTTCAGCAGCCCACTCTTCGTTCGATCGTCGGCAGAGACAGAAACACTTGTGAAAGGTAAATATGCTAGTATTGTACAGACGTGCCTGAACAAGGCTTCCCTGTATCTTACTGCAAAGGCATAGAGATAATTTACTGAAGAGTAAGTACGGAGGTAGATGTGCCTGAGCAAGGCTTCCCTTCTCCGCTACGGTTACTCTATGTGATCGGTACATCACATGATGGTGAATTATAACCTTGAGTCTGCCCTGTGATTGAGAGAAAGTGTATGGGAGCACTTGGCATGTAATAGCTAGAGAGTACTCAGTAGTTACTTTGAGAGGCTCGGTTTAGCTGTTGTTAGAGTGAGTGCTCGTTCTAGGGAGTACTCATCTCTTGGATATGTGATTCATGTATTATATGTAGTGAGTGCTCAGTTATTCAATTCATACATTAGGTAAAGTGAGTGCTCGTTTTAGGGAGTACTCCTCTCTTAGATATGTGTTTATAGTTGGTGTAGCTAATTTACAGAAGGCAATTTCTTGTATAGTCCCAGGTAGGGAGTAATCATTTGTTGGCTAGGGAGTACTCAGTATTTCATTTTGAGTAGGGAGTACTCAGTATTTCATTTTGAGTACTCATTTTGTTGTTATATATTTCATAGTTATTAGATCATAGTGTTGTACATTACTCAGAGGGACTGAGTGCTTTTAGACAGCAATTATATTGATTAATTCATTAGAAAAGGTACCCAATTATGCAAGTTACTTTATCTGTATATATCTGCACTGAGTAGCTCAAATAACATCTACATGTAGTATAGACAATCAGGATCTTCAGTGGAAGTGACTGATACGAACCCCTGTAAACGTCACATAATTTGGTGGCAGCGTCGGGATCCTTATTGCCTATATTTTATTCATTTGAACACTCAAGGTGTAAGTAACACTGAGTACTGTAATTGAATTAGATTGTAATTTTGTTAAAAAAGAGTTGTATGTCTGATGAGGAGGCATCTGATATTGATTGGAGGAACTGGCGGGAGCAACTTATCGAACAAACTGATCTAGGTATGCACTCAACACCGAGACAAACCATGTCGAAGGGGAGCAGTCGTTATCGAGATTCAGGCATTGAGTCCAAGCGTCAATCTGAAGAAATCGGTACAGAGGAAATGGACATTGCTCATTCATATAGCAGTATGACTGAAAATCATGAAGATGTATCATCTCCTGAGATTATAGATCAGGAGATAGAAGAGCTACAGAAGCAATTATGCAGATTAGATGCTCAAAACCAGAGTCTGCGAGCAAGTGCCAGCAAGTCCTTGATAAAAGATTCATACAGAAGACTCAGCCCAGATACCAGAACTAAGCAAGATACAAGTCCAAGAGTGAGGTTTTCTGATAATACTTCTTCCCGTCGGTTGGATCATGATAAGGAGGAAGATGGAATATTTGATAATGTTACCACAAGAGGTACATGTAGGAGTGGACAAAGAAGATCAGCTCGGATTAACCATAGAAATGATAGGGACGACGCATTAGACAAAGGTTCCGCTTGGGAGAAGAGAAACACCTGGAGAAGGTCAGCTTTAGATCTAAGCGATAGTGATAACGGGGACCGAGTATCAGAAAGAAAGCACAAAGAGAAATTTATTTCTGTGAAAGCTTCAACTTATGATGGCACCACTCCATGGAGAGACTACCAATCTCATTTTGAGGCATGTGCCCGGATTAATCGCTGGACAGAAAGTGAGATGGGCCTATACCTAGCAGTGAGTTTGAGGGGCCAAGCTCAAGGTATTCTTGGGGATTTACCTGCCAGGAAGCAAGAACATTATTTCTCATTAGTAAGATCTCTGGAAGAAAGGTTTGCCCCACCTAATCAAACTGAGCTGTATCGAGTGCAGTTACTTGAGAGGAGACAGAGAGCTAACGAGACACTCCCTGAATTAGGCCAGGCAATACGAAGATTAGTTAATCTGACCTACCCCACTGTTGAGGTTAGTGTGAGAGAAACATTGGCCAAACAGCAGTTTCTTGAGTCCTTAGCTGACTCGGATATGCGTATTCGTATAAAGCAAGCCAGGCCTGAGAATCTTACAGAGGCAATCCATCTTGCGGTAGAGCTAGAAGCTTACAAGAAAGCAGAAAAACATGGAGATGCGGGTCGCGCCTATCTGAGAACAACAAGTACTGAGAGTACTGAAAGCACAAAAATGGTTGAGAAAACTGAAATGGAATCAATGTTGTGTAATATCCAGCAGACACTGGAAATGATGCAGACAGATATCAGCAAGCTAAAAGCTGCAAAGAAAAGTCAAAATCAACCAGACGGTCAAGGAAAGGATATGAAGAACACGAGCACTGGCAGACGTTGCTATAAATGTAACGAGACTGGACATTTACGTAGGGACTGTCCTCAGCTGAAGACTGGGTCCAAGCAAACCTCATCTGGAGCAGCCAACCCAGTGAAAACTCGAACTAGGAAGCGAAATCATAACAAACCCGCAGGAATTGGAATTTCATCAGCAGCCCAAGAAGCTGGGTTGTATATCAAAGCTGAAGTACAGAATACCAAAGTGAAGCTTTTGGTTGATACGGGAGCTACGGTAACCATATTGTCAAAAGAGGTATATGAGAGAATTCCAGCAGAGAGAAAACCTAGGCTACAGAAGGTTAAAAAGGACATAATGGCCGCTAACGGGAGTGAATTGGAAGTCCTGGGGTGTGGAGCATTCATGATTAAACCAGAGGGGTGCAAGGATGTCTACTTTGAGTGTGTTGTAGCTAATATCAGCACTGATGGTCTTCTTGGCCTAGACTTTCTGAAATTGAGGAATGGAATGATTGACTTGAAGAGAGGATCGTTAGTATTGGACGATGGTGAAGTTGACACTAAATATGAAGGTACACTTGGTTGCTTTCGAGTTTCAGCTGCCGAGAAAGTCATCATTCCAGGTAAAAGTGAGATGATAATTACAGGGAAAATCTGTTCGCCAATTTGGAAACCAATAAAAAGCGGTTCTCTTCTTATCGAAGGAGCGGACTCATTCCTGAAAAATGACAAAGCCCTCATAGCCCGTTCTTTGGTATGCAATACGTCTACAGTGCCAGTCAGAATTATGAATCTCCAAGAAGATCCACAAACAGTCTATCCTGGTACAAATATTGCTCAAGCTAGTCCTGTTAGCAGTGTCATCGAGACAATTACCTCGTCTAGTTGCGCCTTTGGGGAGAAACTCAGAGATGACTTGAATCAGTTACTCGATAGAGCAAGAGAACACCTAACTCCAGAACAGAGCAGTAAGGTCAAGACTTTGTTGTTCAAATATGAAAACCTGTTTGCAGCCAAAGATAGCGATCTTGGACGTACAAAAGTTGTGAAGCACAAGATAGAAACAGGTGATGCTAGACCTATCAAACAACCACTCAGAAGGGTACCAGCACATGTGAGTGAGGAGGTCGATAGACAGGTACAAGATATGCTTGACCGCGAAGTGATTCGAAAGTCTACTAGTCCCTGGTCTTCCGGCATTGTCCTAGTTCAAAAGAAGGACGGAAGTCTGAGATTTTGCGTGGACTATAGACGTTTGAATGCAGTGAGCAATCATGATGCCTATCCATTACCACGGATTGATGAGGCATTGGACCACCTATCAGGGTGTACATGGTTTTCTACACTGGACCTTAATGCAGGGTATTGGCAAGTTGAGCTGGAAAGTGAAGATCGTCCGAAAACTGCCTTTTCAACCAGGACGGGACTCTATGAGTTTCAAGTGATGCCATTTGGGTTGACATCTGCGCCAGCCACGTTTGAGCGGCTTATGGAGACAGTACTAGCTGGATTACAGTGGCAAATTTGCCTCATCTATCTTGACGATGTAATTGTAGTAGGAAAGACTTTTGAGGACATGCTACAAAATCTGTCAACTGTGTTCGACCGACTTCTGGCTGCTGGTCTGAAGCTTAAGACAAAGAAATGCCAACTGTTTGCCAAAGAAGTGACATACCTTGGGCATGTGATTTCTGAGAAGGGGATAGCTACAGATGGTGAAAAGGTGAAGATAGTGGACCAGTGGCCTGTACCAATCAACCTCAAGGAATTGAGATCATTTCTTGGATTTTGTGGATACTACCGGAGATTTGTACGAAACTTCTCTGGTATTGCAAGTTGTCTACATGAACTGACTAAGAAAGACAAAAAGTTTGAATGGACTGAAGTCTGTCAGGAGGCTTTCGAAACACTAAAGCGATGTTTAATTGGTGCTCCAATACTCGCCCACCCAGACTTCACACAACCTTTCATCCTTGATACCGACGCAAGTGATAAATCGATCGGTGCCGTTCTATCTCAAAGCATCAATGGAATTGAGAGACCTGTCGCGTATGCAGGACGTACACTGACCAAATCTGAAAGGAGATACTGTGTCACAAGAAAGGAGTTGTTAGCAGTTGTACACTTTGCTAAATACTTTAAGCACTACCTGTATGGAAAGAGGTTCACTGTGAGAACTGATCACAGTTCATTACGCTGGCTTCTAAATTTCAAGGAACCAGAAGGGCAGATGGCCAGATGGCTTCAAGTATTGAGCTCCTACAACATGGACATTAAGCACAGACCAGGAACTCAGCACAGTAATGCTGATGCATTGAGTCGGATACCTTGCAGACAATGTGGGTTTGACCCCATGTGGGAAAAGAACAAGATCGAGGACAAAGAGTATGCTCAGATGGCATCCAGCAAGATGTTTGTGAAGGAGGACTCTCAAGACGAGAATGAAAAGGAGGAGTTGTCGCTTCAGCAGAAGCAGAAAAAGGATTCTGACATTGCAGTAGTAATGGAATGGGTGAGGAAAGGAGAGAAACCTCTGTATAAGAAAATTGGTGACCGAAACATAATAGTGAAGACATTATGGGCCCAATTTGAATCCCTTGTGATACATGGGGACATGTTGTATCGGAAAAATCCCCATTCAGAATCAACTCTACAGGCAATTGTACCAACAGCTGAAAGACGAACCGTGTTGACACACAGTCATGACAATAGGAGCTCCGGGCACCTTGGAATGAAGAAAACGTTGGCAAAAATAAGACAGAGTTATTATTGGCCATGTCTTCAATCAGATGTCAAAAACTATGTGGCTGGATGTCAACAGTGCAGTAAACGCAAGAGTCCATGCAAAACCAAACGAGCACCAATGCAGATAGTGGAGTCAGGCTTTCCTATGGAAAGGATAGCAATAGATATTCTCTGTGAACTCCCAAGTACAAAGATGGGTAACCGCCATATCTTAGTGATATCTGATTATTATACTAAGTGGACAGAGAGTTTTGCAATGCCGAATATGGAAGCTCAAACTGTTGCCAAAGTACTTGTTGAGGAGGTGATATCTAGGTTTGGTGTTCCTTACAACATTCATTCTGATCAAGGGTCTCAGTTTGAAAGTTGTCTCTTTAAAGAGATGTGTTTACTTCTACAAATAAACAAGACCCATACCACTCCCTATCATCCCAAATCCGATGGAATGGTAGAACGGTTTAACAAGACACTTGTAGCCATGCTAAGTGCCTTCGTTAACGACCATCAGACTGATTGGGATGAACATTTGCCGTATGTGATGATGGCGTATCGCTCTACGGAACATGAGACGACGGGGAACTCGCCGAATAGCATGATGTTGGGAAGGGAAACAAGCACTCCATTGGATATTCAGTACGAGATGCCAAGGAATATCAAGGCCATTCCTCAAAACCAATGGGCTTGGCAGTTAAAAGAAAGGATGGAGAATGCACACGACCTGGTGAGGAAGCACTCTAAAGGAGCGATGCTGCGACAAAAACGTTACCATGACAAGAAATTGTCTTGGACTGAATTCAAGTCTGGTGATTCAGTTTATGTCTTCTTCCCGAACATTCCGACTGGGACCACACACAAGTTAGCCAAACGATGGCGAGGACCTTTTAAGGTACTCACCAGAATGACCGAGGTTACTTATAAAGTCAGATGTGGATACAAGGGAAAGAGTCAAGTGATTCATGCTGATCGCATGCGACTGAGACATTCACAGGTGTTACGGGGTGAAAGTAAAGCGAAAGAAGCTGGAATGAAAAATGTGCAAGTACAGGTTGATGAATCATGTTTTGAACGTGGTCAGAAAGAAAGAGAATGTAAGCTTTCAGAAGATGGGACCTCAAGTGAGTTGAGAGATGAGGTAGAGCAAAAATGTAGCATTGAGAAAGAGTGCGAACAAATCAGAGCAAACCCAAGGCGGCCTATAAGGAAACCGCAATGGCATTCAGAATACACCTCAAATTATTAGAATGATCTATTCTGATTGGTAAACAACTCTCAATTTTATCATTCCAGAAAATGGTGAAGACAAAGTCTACCCCTAGGAAACAGTGTCCTATGTGCTCCTTTCGAGCAGATGATCTTGACGTGATGCGTAATCACATTCTTGAGTGTGGCCTGGAGACCATGGAGAAGAAGACTCTGGCTTGTCCCGATTGTAGCTACAAGACATTCAGGGCTGCAAACATGACTCGACACCGTAAGCGCCATACGGATTCCACAGGAAATGTGTGTAAGGATGTGTCCACAACTCTGGCTGCAGATCGCCCATCTACTTCCACCTCAACTGTGACTGTCAACACAGATGTTGAGAGCTGGAGCAACCAAGATCCTGGGGACCTGCTAGGAGAGATCTCGGACTCGTCAGAGAACAACTCTACATCTGAAGATGAGGGAAACGGTCTTCTGGTCGGACGCACGGTCAGGAAGCCAACCAGACCAGAGCCGGTACAGGCTCCAAAACGGAAGCAAGACCCAAAGAGCTTCGCTAGACCCCATCCCAAGGACCCTGTAAACATGGTTCCTATGCCTGTTACCAGTGGACGCCCTACTGCTAAAAAGTTATGCACCTATGTGCATCGTGCCACTCAGACTGAGGAGGTCAAAACCTCCCGTAGAACTGTTACGAAGACGACGCGGTATTCCGAAGATGGTCGAGACATTGAGGTGGTAGAATTTGAGGAGTTTTTCGTACCTGAAATATTTGGTCGTACAAGTTAGAAGAATTCAGTGACTTGATATTGAAGACACCGACTTTGTCGATTTTCATGTCTTTCAAAACAATACATAATTCTTGGAATGTATATCGTCTTTTAGTTATATGTTTTCTTAGTTGGAACGTGAGGACACGTTTTACTCGGAGGCGTGGGTAATGTGGCGAATCACGGCTCCACTTTGCCGTCAAGTAGTATGTCCCTCATTTTGTTGATAACCTTCGCTGTCAAATAGACGCTTGAAGTATACATGTATTTATAGGATTTTATGTAAACGTTTTAATGACACTGAAGAATCATAGGTGGCGCTAAGTTCGTCTGGCAGCAGACTATAAAAAGCCGTCGGCTAACTTCAGCAGCCCACTCTTCGTTCGATCGTCGGCAGAGACAGAAACACTTGTGAAAGGTAAATATGCTAGTATTGTACAGACGTGCCTGAACAAGGCTTCCCTGTATCTTACTGCAAAGGCATAGAGATAATTTACTGAAGAGTAAGTACGGAGGTAGATGTGCCTGAGCAAGGCTTCCCTTCTCCGCTACGGTTACTCTATGTGATCGGTACATCACATGATGGTGAATTATAACCTTGAGTCTGCCCTGTGATTGAGAGAAAGTGTATGGGAGCACTTGGCATGTAATAGCTAGAGAGTACTCAGTAGTTACTTTGAGAGGCTCGGTTTAGCTGTTGTTAGAGTGAGTGCTCGTTCTAGGGAGTACTCATCTCTTGGATATGTGATTCATGTATTATATGTAGTGAGTGCTCAGTTATTCAATTCATACATTAGGTAAAGTGAGTGCTCGTTTTAGGGAGTACTCCTCTCTTAGATATGTGTTTATAGTTGGTGTAGCTAATTTACAGAAGGCAATTTCTTGTATAGTCCCAGGTAGGGAGTAATCATTTGTTGGCTAGGGAGTACTCAGTATTTCATTTTGAGTAGGGAGTACTCAGTATTTCATTTTGAGTACTCATTTTGTTGTTATATATTTCATAGTTATTAGATCATAGTGTTGTACATTACTCAGAGGGACTGAGTGCTTTTAGACAGCAATTATATTGATTAATTCATTAGAAAAGGTACCCAATTATGCAAGTTACTTTATCTGTATATATCTGCACTGAGTAGCTCAAATAACATCTACATGTAGTATAGACAATCAGGATCTTCAGTGGAAGTGACTGATACGAACCCCTGTAAACGTCACAATGTAAGTTCAAAAACAAAAATATCAGGGATGGCCGAACTTACCTCGGTCTCCCGTATGTAGACTTTTTGTATCGTTGATGATTGGTAAAAATGTATTCACAATATATTTTTTGCATCAGTCACGCCATTTTCAAAGCTAAAGTAGATATTTGTTCTTGTGCGTAACGTATATGATGGGTCGGGTGGCGCAGTGGATAGCGCGCTCGTCTTCACCAATATGACCGGATTATATATTACGGTAATATATTTAAATATATCAATCTAACATATAATAGTTTTTCTGATTAGGATTATTATTTAATTAATGTTTCTCACAATGTAATAGACAATCATACTCCTACTCAGAATTACAATTCCGGAATGTCCTCTCAGTCTTTCGCTTCTAATAGTTATACTACTTCCTGTGCCCTGATCTTTACTTCCTGTTTAGCGTTCTGCGGACATGGCTTGTTTGATCATACATTGTAGGTGGTGGGCACGTCTATCAAAAAAAAAATTGAATATATAAAACTATATTCATTTTTTTTTGATAGACGTGCCCACCACCTATGGTTTAATGAGATGAAGGAATCGGTGAACTACGTACTGTCAACGGTAGTCTCTGTTGAATGACCACTTTGATAATGTCTTTTATGCTTTTTTTTCTCTCTCAATTTTCCTTTTCTCTCTCTGCTCCTCTCCTTTACTCTGGGATGGACCTCTTTAACTCGTTCTTAAGTTGCAGCTAAGGCTGAAACACAGTTCCTATCGGCAAATAATCAAGGTCTGGGGGATAAGCAAAAGCGAAAAGACGTTTTTTCTTATCTTAGATCGACAAACGGTATTTTTTTCTGCTTACAAGATACTCATTTTACTAAGGAACAGGAAACCATTATAAGAAACGAATGGGGTTTTCAATGTTATTTTAATTCTTTCAAATCTAATGCAAGAGGTGTTGTTATTCTTTTTAAAAATAATTTTGAACTCAAAGTGTTTATGGAAAAGAAAGATAATTCAGGCAATTTCCTAGCCCTAGATATTGAAATTGAAACTTTCAGAATTTCTGTTATTAATGTATATGGCCCAAATAAGGATGACCCTGAGGTTTATAATATCCTAACAGAAACCATCGAAGAATTTGCAAATAAATACATTATTATCAGTGGACACTTTAACTACATAATGAATCCGAAACTAGCATATGACAAAACTTACAAAAACCTTAATAATCCTAAAGCTAGAGATATAAAGTATTAGAAATCATTGATAATTTAGCATTAATAGATATTTTTCTAGAGCAACATGAAGATGTAAGAAGATATACTTGGAGGAAAAGTAATCCATTGAGGCAAGCACGCTTAGATTTATTTCTCATCTCTGAACATTTAATTTCAAGTACTAACAAATCAAATATAGAATCTGGTTATCGTTCTGACTATTCTTTTCCAACAATATCTTTAAAACTTCACGAATTTATAGCTTGTAAAGGGGTATGGAAATTTACAAGATGTGTAATATTTAGATATGGTAAAAAATGTATTATTGAGACAAAAATGCAATACTGCCTTCCGCTTTACAACATATCAAACCTAGATAGCATTTCAGACGCTGATATTCTGTTCACTGTAGATGACAAGTTATTTCTTGAAACCTTACTTATTCAAATTCGGGGGGAAACTATATCATACTCATCCTATAGGAAAAAACAACAGAATATTAGGGAAAACCATCTTAGGAAGCTTATTCAGACAATAGACGAAACAAACGTAATTGATTTAGAACTGAAAAAGAAAGAACTACAGTCAATTAGGGGAAAAAATAAAAGGTAGCATTGTTAGATCTCGAGCTAAATTGATTGAAGAGGGGGAAAAGCCTACCAATTATTTTTCAATTTAGAAAACAGGAATTTTACTTCAAAAATAATACCAAAATAACAATTAAATGATGGGGAAATGATTACAAACCAGGATGATATATTGCAAGAAGTTCACAATTTGTATGAAATTTTTATGAATCTGATAGTAACTTAGAAAATGTTAATTTAAATGAACTTTTAGAACCTTATAGTGTCAAAAAAAATAATAAGCATGATTCACAGAATATTGAGTGTTTAATCACTTTAGAAGAAGCTGGGAAAACTTTAAAAAACATGAAAATTAACAAAAGTCCTGGAATAGATGGTTTTACAGCGGAGTTTTATAAGTGTTTTGTAAATGTTTAGGTAATTTTGTTGTTCGTTCTATAAATTTGGGTTACAATACTGGTGTTTTATCTATTTCGCAACGACAAGGCATTATTACATGTATTTTAAAGGGAGATAAACCTAGACACGTCATCAAGAATTGGAGGCCAATATCACTGTTAAACACTGTTTCCAAATAGCTTTGGATAAATTAATTAACAAAGATCAGACCGGGTTTCCAGAGGGTCGTTATATAGGGGGAAATACTTGACATAGTTACGATGTTATGCAATATACAGAAGAAAATATTATTCCAGGTATGTTTTTGATGATTGACTTTGAAAAAGCTTTTGATTCGGTATCCTGGGTATTTATTGAAAAAGACTTACAATTTTTTGGTTTTGGAAGAAGTTTAATCACTTGGGTTAAAATATCACATAATAATGCTAGTGCTACTATTAATCAGGGTGGGAACTTATCTTCATTTTTTCCAATAAAAAGAGGTTGCCGTCAAGGTGATCCTATCGCACCATATATCTTTATACTATGTGCAGAAATGTTGGCTCTTAAATTAAGACATAATGATAAAATTAAGGGTATTGATGTTGATAACTGTCCGATACTTTTGTCTCAATATGCTGATGATACATCACTTGCACTAGAAGGCACAGAACGGTCACTCATATAATCTATTAAAGAACTTAACTCTTATGCAAATATAACAGGATTAAAAATGAATATTTCAAAAACTCAAGTGGTATAGATTGGTAGCAAGAAGTATAGCTCAGAGAAATTTCTTCTATAACTAAATTTACAGTGGGGTAGAGAAAATTTCACACTTCTTGGGATTGAATTTCATGTAAACTTGCATAAGATACCCAAGTTGAACTTTGATAAAAAAAAAACTAACAAAACTAAAATCATTCATCAGAACATGGAATAGAAGAATATTAACTCCAATTGGTAAAATCCAAATAATTAAGTCATTACTTATTTCACAGTTCAAGCATTTGTTTATCTCACTGCCAAATCCAGATGAAACATTTCGTTCTAAACTGAACTGTTTACTATATCAGTTTTTATGGAATAATAAAATAGATAAAGTTAAAAGGGGTATCTTAACTCAGGACTCTCTCTCTCTCTCTCTCTCTCTCTCTCACTATATGAAGATGTTCATGTATGGGTTGAAAAACATTTGTCTTTGCTTTAAGGAGCGGCTACGCGCTTATAATGTACCGCTTATTAGTACTTTTCTTTTCATTTAACAGACAATTTCAACATATTCTTGGTTTAATGTTTTAGATAAGCTAGTTTGTAATCCACATGACAGTTTAGGTTAAATGTATCTTTCGTGCATTTTTACTGAAACTGAAACTTTTGACATGGTGCAGCGTCCGTCAGTCGTCCATCTGGCGTCAACTTTTTACTTTAAACAACTTCTTCTGAATAACCAAAAGGCCCAGGGAACTGATATTGGGCCTGGAGCATGCTGGGATGAAAGGCTACCAAGTTTGTTCAAATTAAATGACCTTGACCCACTTTCAAGGTCACTGGGGTCTGATGTCTTAAAATCTTCAAACATCTTCTTCTCAATAACCAAAAGGCAGAAGGTACTAATATTGGGCCTGCAGCATGAAGGTATGAAGGACTGCCAAGTTTGTCATAATGAATGACCTTGACTTAATTTCAAGGTCACATGGGTTAAATGTCTTAAAAATTTCAAACCACTTTTTCTCAATAACCAAAAGGCCCAGGGTACTGATATTGGGCCTGTAGCATGCTGGGATAAAGGGCTATTATGTTTGTTCAAATGAATGACACTGATCCACTTTCAAGGTCACAGGGGTTAAATATGTTAAAATCTTCAAAGACTTCCTCTCAATAACCAAAAGGCCTAGGGTACTGATATTGGGCCTGTAGCATGCTGGAATGAAGGACTGCCAAGTTTGTTCAAATGAATGATCTTGACCCACTTTCAATGTCACAGGGGTCAAATGTCTTTAAATCTTCAAACAACTTCTTCTCAATAACCAAAAGGCCCAAAGTACTGATATTGGGCCTGTAGTATGCTGGGATGATGGGCTTCCAGGTTTGTCAAAATGAATGACCTTGACCCACTTTAAAAAGTCACAGGGGTCAAATATGTTAAAATCTTCAAACGACTTCTCAATAACCAAAATGTCAAGAGTACTGATATTGGGCCTGTATTATGCTAGGATGAAGGACTGCCAAGTGTGTCCAAATGAATGGCTATGACCCACTTTCAAGGTCACAGGGGTAAAATGTCTTAAAATCTTCAAACGACCTCAATAACCAAAAGGCCCAGTGTTCTGATATTGGGTCTGTAGCATGCTGGGATGAAGGGCTACCATGTTTGTTCAAATGAATGACCTTGACCCACTTTCAAGGTCGCAAATGTCAAATATGTTAGAATATTCAAACAATTTCGTCTCAATGATTGAAAGGCCCAGGGTACTATTATTGGGCCTGTAGCATGCTGGGATAAAGGGCTACCAAGTTTGTTCAAATGAATGACCTTGACCCACTTTCAACCTAATGTCCTTGTTCAACATTCAAGGTCACAGGCGTCATATGTTTAAATCTTTTAATAGGTTCTTATGAATCAAATACCGATATTGTGTCTGAAGCTGTATTTTGAGATTAATACCAGGTGAGCGATGCAGGCCCATTGGGCCTTTTGTTTATAATTCACCCTCTTATAATGAAGCGCTAAAATCACATATGAAATAATACGAGATCAAGGTGCCAACTTATGACGGAACAGCGGCTGAAGAATTAATCTCTATAAGCCTGGTCACCTTCATAATCTCTTATCTAAGAATCAAACAAAGGAAAAAAATCCTTCTGAAATATGACGTCATCATCCCTTTACCTAATCTAAAGGTAACACACACCAAGAAACGTGTATCTGGTAATTATAAAGAGGTCACATGCCCTGTTCAAACGCTTATCTTAAAATCAAGTACAAAAATACGCGTTTTTCATAGGATTGTCATGTTTCCAATCTCTTGTTTAAAAGTAGCGCACGATTAAAAAAACGTCTCTGACCTTACTTTCTATCCAAATCCGAGTAACAAACACGATAATCTCAGGGGGACAACACTCTCTGTTGAAAGAAATTGAGTCCTCCTTGCCATATGATTGTTCTGGACCACATATCGTTTAAATACCTCCAATAATACTGTAGGAGAAGGATTTTAAAGATTTACCTGAATTTCCCCTATTGGGCTCCTCACCTCTGCCCGAAAGGGGGCCACGCCCTCTGTTCATACAAAATTGAGTCCTCTTTGCTCAAGGATGCTCTACACAAAATGTGTTTAAAATAACTTCATACTAAAGCAGAAAGAGTTTAATTATTTATTACTACGTTCCCCCTATTGGGCCGTGCTTCGCTGCCCCCAGAGGGGACCCAATATCCCTTGAAATTGCGACCGCTTTGTCCAATGATGCTCTGGACCAAATTTGGTTAAAATCCCTACAATGGTACAGAGGAAGAAGATTTTAAAGATTTACTCCAAGTTCTCCTATAAGGCCCAGTCCCTCTGCACCCAGAAGGACAATACCCTCTGTTTATACAAAATTAAGTCCCGTTTGCCAAAGGATGACCCAGGCCAAATTTGGATGAAATGCCTCCAATGGTACAGAGAGATAAGGATTTTAAAGACTATAAACTTGATTTACCCTTTCAGGCCCCGCCCCTCTGCAGCCTAAGGGGCCATATCCTCCGTTTATACAAATATAATCCCCTTTGCCCAATGATGCTTCAGGTCAAATTTGGATAAAATCCCTCCATTGATACAGAGGAGCAAAAATTTTGAAGACTCAATTCTCGATTTCATCTATTGGGCCTTGCCCATCTGCCCCCGAAGGAACCACGCCCTGTTTATACAAAATTATATCCCCTTTGACCTAGGAAGCTTATTTAAAATCCCTCCAATGGTCCAGAGGAAGAAGTATTTAAAAAATTAAAACCTCAAACTCCCCTTTTGGCCCGCCCCTGTCCACCAAAAGGGGCCACACCCTCCCTGTATACAAAATTTAGTCAAAATCAATAAATCTGTTCAGGAATAGTAGCGTTTTAAAGGAAAAGTTGTCGGACGGACATGCGATGAACGCTGTAGTACGGCATAAGCTCCCATGGTCCTCCGGAGCAGGTGAGCTAAATAGTTGTTCGATATGTCATCTTGTGATAGCAAATGTAAAGGTTAACAACAAATCGCTTATAGATCACGTATTCATCCCTGAATAAAAAGATTAAACGACAGGTATAACTTTTGATTTCATTACCTTCCCATCCCCAAATTTTAAACCGTACACGTTTCTGTTATGGTCTGGATCTATTGATGATTATTTAACGCTTAATCGAAAAATAAAATAAAAAGGTATTTTATGTGACTTTAAATTGGTAAAATCCTTGTCCAAAATTCATGTTTTAAAATGTTTAACGTTGTTTTTCAGGTTGTGATGTCCTCAAAAAGATATGCAATTGTATGCGGTGCATGTGTGATCACCTTTCAAAACCTCAATGTGATGTAAGTTTATATACAAGGTCTCTCTTTGTTACTTTTGACAATACTTTTTCTCAATATGGTAGGTGATAACATGATGGATATATCTTGTGAAGCAAGAAACGCTTGTAAGCTATTACGTTTACCGATCAGCTTTGACATGTGTTTAACTTTTGTGCTCTAACAATACCACAGACATTTCCTTGAGATAGAATGATACAGTTGTTACGTGCAATTGGGCATCCACCCTTCCAGCCACTATCCACGTTCGCTATTGCCTAATTATAGAGCGCGTCCGAGGGTTATAACGCTTCGTCGGGGAATCTAGCTCGCCATTTTTTTCTCCTCTATTTCCTTTGTTGTTACACTATTGGGCTAGCATTTCCAGCGATGCGATAAAACGATGCGGTAAAACCCTTGGACGCACTCACTATTATTAGCAACGTGAAATGGTGGTTTGGTGGGCACCCACTAACAAGTTACAAAGTGTACTATCGATATTGTGAGACAATGACAAGGACAGGGGATTGATTCAGAGTTGGGTTCTAGTAATAAATCGTTCCAGTGAAATTTAAGAGTGATAGATAAAATGTAATGTACTTGCGGGAAAATGATGCAGTTTATTCCAGTAGCGATCGAATAGTACATTGCAATGTGCTAGGAAATTAAAAACACAATTTATTGTATTTCAAAAGATCAAACGTGTTCTAAACCTTATCGTCTAGGGTTTGTCAAAACATATAGTGTTTCACATACGAAACTATATACTGTTTTATGGTTCCATTTCCTTACTTCAGATTGTCTAAAATGTGATCACATGCAAGTCGATTTTTCAGGATATTGACTCAAAGTAGCTATTTGTTTCAACATCATTATGATGTCAAAATGTGTTTCGATATACGTGTTAGTTTAAATCGTGTCTAACGATAAAAATATCAGCATCAAATATATATTTTGTATTTTTATTTTCTAAACGTGTAACATTATGACTGTGATTTTGACCTCTTCCTTATTTTAGTGCAGACTTGCGATGCTGATTACAGCAACTCTATTCAATTTGCTTGTGTAAGTATTTTAATTTTGATTGAAGAAAACCATTATTTACTTTCTAATTAATCATGTATAATTAAAGTATATCATTCATAAGATGCAAACTATATTGATTTCCTGAAGGTTCATGTGAACAACAATGAACATTTTTCATTTAAAAACCCACACAACTTAATCATTTACTAAATATTGAACCTAGCTTTTGAGTTTGTAGCTTTAACAGTGGTTTCAACTATCTAAATACAGCATATGTGTTATCCGATTGAGAAACAATTGACATGAACAATCAAGTCACAACGGAAGACGACGTCGTAGAGCATTGTTATTTGACGTCATAAGTTAGAAGATAATGTCAAGGGTGTTACCCACTATAGTGGGTATCCAAACATGTTTACCAGCTCCTAGCAGGTTTATCCGACGACTCGGGAGCAAGGAAACCTATACTGTTTGTGGGAGAAATATATTTCCTCTCAAACCATTCAATGTTACTTGCGCTAACCTGATATCTAGGTGAAGCAATGTCAACATGGCATCGTTGACTCTATTGTCTCCAGTGATTATTAAGTTACCATGTGATCTCTGTGTTATTTCAAATATGGGTACAAATATTAATTGAACTTCAACCTTGCCTTACAGGGCCATCTGCGGACTAGTGATTCAGCCATCAGACTTTGCATCCTTCCTGCTAGTCATTTTTATAGGCAATTTAATACTCTACTGTGTATTTTACTTTATCCTCATGAAGGTAAGAACCATGAAATTAGTATCATGCTCAAGTATGAATTCTATGTTTGACACAGTCATCTTGTAACTCGCCAAAGACAATCCATTAAACAGCATGTGAAGTGTTACTGGTTTACAGTGAAGCACCTTGAAAGGGAGAGGACTTAAATAAAGACAGAATCAAAGTTTAAATATGAAAACGGCGTCATGAATGCTGGACCTGTGTATTCAACCATTTTGTATTTTTTACCTAAAGAGACCCTTAAAGGTTAACAATATAAAGAAACTATTCGATAATTGCCGATATTTGTATATTTTCTGTTGGAAAATAAGAATGGTCTCATTTTCTTATCTCTTTTGCAAACCTTATTTGTGTATTGAATGACGATGTTAAAAATGTACAAATATAAGATACAAATTGTAGCTATTACATAATTGAGTTTTGTGTGTTTCAGTGCAAACTTAAAAAGAAGATAGCCTATTCAAGAATCGTTTGTGTCGTGTTAGCCTGTATTGCCTGGATCGCTGCAATCTATTTTTTCATGGCTCACCTAACCTCCTGGGGGGTATGTATTATTAGCGTATGTCAGTTTACGACAGTTGTTACACTTAATGGTTGAACAAATATTCACGTAACCTTTTACAACCAATACCATATATTGGTTTGCTAAATGTTACCTTGGCTTTTCTAACCGTGTAACAACTTGTGACATGTTTTATGGGGAATCTTCAGAACTTAACAGGTTTGTAATAAGATTAATATATAATCCTTCAAACCTTTTGGGTAAGAAGGAAAAACCTCAACCCAAAGGGTAAGATTCTTAAATGTCAGGCCCGAGGCTTAGCCGAGGCCGAGATATTCAAGAATCTTATCCCAAGGGTTGATATTTTTCTGTCTTACTTCTAAAGTGGGAAATTATTATTTTTTCTCTCACATCAATTACAAGACGTAATTTCATAACATGTAAACGTTGATTTCATAATTACAATCAGATTGGAGTTATATTTTGTGATATACTACTGCTGAAGTGATATCATGCATCTGTTACGACAGGTGAATGGCCCCGTCCTTACCCTATGCTACATATACATATCTATATTTCCCTTACCGGAATAGTGGATATCTAATGGGGGAGAATAATTTAATCTTACATGGTTGGGGGTTGAGCGGACAGAGAAATTTCAACCCTGTCCACTGGCAACTCCCATGTTTGATTCTTGTTATCTGATGCCTGACATTATCATGCCTGTGTCAATACTCTTCACATGTTCATTTGCTTGTATTCCATGAAAACAATTAATTTAGGGGCCACCGTGGTCAAATGGTTAAGGCGTCTGACATTCTGCTGCGACTAGCCCTCCACTACTAGGTCGAGGCCTACGTGGGGCAGTCGCCATTGCAGGTACAGGTCGAAGGTCGGTGGCTCTTCTCCGGGGATGTCCTTAAATGACTATAGCTGTTCATAAAACACAAACAAACAAAATTAAATACAAGTATGTTAATATTATAAGGGTGGTGAACCCTGATCAAAAGTCATAAATCATTTAAAGCACGCACAAAGTTAACAATGATTTCATTTAATATCCTACAATGTAATATATCAGTTAATATTTCTTCAGAAGTACAATAAAAAACTTCATTTAAAGGTCATTCATTTAAACTTTGGTAGCACTTCATTCCAGCAAGCTTCTTGCTAAATATCATCTGACACCCTTGACCTTTTGATTAATCAGAAGAAGTTGTTTACAAATGTCCATATATTTGATCCGTATGATCTTGAATATGGGCGAAAGCCATACATTTGAACAAACTTAGTAACCTTTCATTCCAGCATGTTACTGACCAAATATCATCATCCTAGGCCTCCTGGTTTTTCAGAAGAAGTCATTTAAGAATTTCAACATATTTGACCCCTGTTACATTGAACATTCGTCAAGGTCATTTATTTGAATTCATGTGACGACGGACGGACGACGCACCACGACTTAAGCTCACTTTGCCCTTTGGGCCAGGTGAGCTAATAATAGATTACTTTACTTAATAAACCTTTGGCTACAAACTATAAGCCATTCATTCTATTTTATGACTTATATTAACAAATAGAGTGATATTTGATTTTGTATGCGACCATACATTGTAAACTACAGATAAACTTAAAGTTAGACAAGCAGTGATTAAAGCCATGCATAGTTTAATCATCTGTTTTTTTTAGCTCACCTGGCCCGAAGGTGCAGCGTCCGTCTGTCGGCCGTCGTCCGGCGTCAATATTTTACTTTTAAACAACTTCTTCTTAATAACCAAAACGCCTAGAGTGATGATGTTTGGCCAGAAGCAAACTGGGATGGATGGATACCAACTTTGTTCAAATAAATGATCTTAACCAATTTTCACGGTCACAGGGGTCAAATATATTAAAAACTTTAAACAACTTCTTCTGAATAACCAAAATGCCTAGGGTGATGATATTTGGCCAGTAGCATGCTGGGATGAAGGGCTACCAAGTTCAAGGTCACAGGAGTCAAATGTGTTAAATCTTCAAACAACTTTTTCTCATTAACCAAAAGGCCCAGGGTACTGATATTGGGCCTGTAGCATGCTGGAATGAAGGGCTACCAAGTTTGTTCAAATGAATGACCTTGACCCACTTTCAAGTTCACAGGAGTCAAATGTCTAAAAATCTTCAAACAACTTCTTCTCAAAAACCAAAAGGCCCAGGGTACTGATATTGGGCCTGTAGCATGCTGGAATGAAGGGCTACCAAGCTTGTTCAAATAAATGAACTTCATCTATTTTCTAGCTCACAGGGGTCAAACATGTTCTTCTCAATAACCAAAAGGCCTTGGATGATAATATTTGGTCAGTTACATGCTGGGATAAAGGACTACCAATTTTGTTCAGACGAATGACCTTCACCCATTTTCAAAGTGACAGGGGTCTAATATGTTTAAAACCTTTAAACGACTTCTTCTGAATTACCAAGAAGCCTTGGGTTATGACATTTTGCCAGTTAGATGCTGGGATGAAGGGCTACCAAGTTTGTTCAAATGAATGACCTTCGCTCCTTTTCAAGGTCACATAAATCAAATATGTTTAAATCTTTAAATGACTTGTTCTGAATATTCAAAAGGTCTAAGGTAATGATATTTGGCCAGAAGCATGCTGGGACGGAAGATTATAAACTCTGTTCAACTTAATGTCCTTGTTCGACTTTCAAGGTCACAGGCGTCATATGTTTAAATCATATAATAGATTATAATGTACGAACACAGATGTTTTGCCTGTAGCTGTATATTAGTCCACTTTTAATATAACAATTTGTGTGTGATTAATAATAGGGCCCGTATTCCTGAAACCGTCCTCATGCTCAAGCATGCATTTTGTGCTCAAGCCTAAATTCTTGTTTAGGTTATAACTTAATAAAAAAATCAATGTTCTGTGGAAAAAAATGAAGAGACGTAACGCCGAATACTGTTTTCAATGTTATCATTTGCTTTTTGAGTGTTTTAAATGATTTAAGTGAGTTACAAAAAAAACTTAATTGAGCACAGAATCCAGGCTTGAGCATGAGAATGGTTTCATGAATACGGGCCCTGGTGAGCGATTCAGACCCATTGGGCCTCTTGTTTATGTATAATCTGCTACTTTATGACTAAATATAGACCATATTTTCTGACTATGTAATGTAAAAAGCATATATACTGAAAACAGATTTGTTTCCCTACAGTTGACTCCAGCTCAGTCTAGGGTGGGAAACAAAGACTGTATGGTGCTGGATTTCTACGATGCCCATGACGTCTGGCATTTCTTGTCGGCCATTGCCTTGTTTCTTTCTTTTCTGGTAAGTAACCTGGACAATCGTGATCTTATCTTCTTCATTAAGACTTCCTCAGGGCCATAATGTTCACATATCAAAGTCGCCTGCGCCTGATGAATCTTTTAAAATAATTCATGCTCATTTTTTTGTTCGGGTAAAACGTACTCGTAGGCAGTAGATAGAAAAGAAAGCAGTCAGGAAAGATAGGAACCGTAAATGATCCCAATTGTTACAAATGGGGCAGCAGATCAATTCTGGTTTCTTCCATGTCCATGTTCCATGGAGATACGAAAGATTCTGCAGGGGGACCAACATTAGTTGCTTCTTACAATCATGCAATGGTATACAGCAGAACTATTCCCCAGAACATGCAAGGGTCTATTGTTCAGAAATGTCTTTATATACAACTTATTAAAAAATGGAACCAGAAGATCCATATATCCCAACAACCAGTCCTTAAATAAAACTTTTGTTTTAAAGAAAACATATAATGTTAAGTGTTTTATGATCAATAGCGCGGCCCTTCGGAAACATAAACAATCTGAATAGAAGATTCAAAATGTATATGTTAGCATTAAAGTATAGGCCACATGGCTATATATTTTTATATTGAATTTACTGGTCCTTTTTTAAATGGCTTTTTTCACTCGTATAGGTTCCAATACGGGTAATAACATGATTCCAGTGTAAATGATGTTTGTTCAATACCATGGACAAAGAAAAGGTCAATGAAATAAATAGAGAAACATAATCACTAACACAACCGAATAATGGAAACAATGATGATAAAATAGGAAGCATGAATATTATGTTTAAAGTGAGATAATTCATACGTACAAATTAACAAACTTGCGAGGGACCTCCAAAGAAAAGATTGACTATCGACAGTTGCGCGTGTTACCGTCGAGAGGTAAATCCAAAATGAAGTAGGGAGGCAGCGGTGACTGGGGATATGGACGGGTGGTCCTTGCTACATATGCATATACATACGTTCTTTAACGCTGGCATTGCGCGCAATTTTATGAATGATGTATTTGAACACCTGGCAACATTAATAATTCCATCGAGTCGTTCATCCTTCATCATAAAAAGTGTTTTGTTGTCAAGTTTAAACAGGTCTCATGTCTGTTGTAGGTTCTGCTGGCATTGAATGATGACCTCGACCCTACATCTGATCAGAGTAGGAGCGAACAGCAACAGAATAATGACCGCAACACCCAGATCTGATCAGAGTAAGAGCGTACAGACACAGAGTGATGACCCCGACCCCCAGATCTGATCAGAGTATGAGCGTACAGACACAGAATGATGACCCCGACCCCCAAATCTGATCAGAGTAAGAGCGTACAGACACAGAATGATGCCCCCGACCCCAGATCTGATCAGAGTATAAGCATACAGACACAGAATGATGACCCCGACCCCAGATCTGATCAGAGTATAAGCATACAGACACAGAATGATGACCCCGACCCCAGATCTGATCAGAGTAAGAGCGTACAGACACAGAATGATGACCCCGACCCCAGATCTGATCAGAGTATGAGCGTACAGACACAGAATGATGACCCCCACCCCAGATCTGATCAGAGTATGAGCGTACAGACACAGAATGATGACCCCGACCCCCAGATCTGATCAGAGTAAGAGCGTACAGACACAGAATGATGACCCCGACCCCAGATCTGATCAGAGTATGAGCGTACAGACACAGAATGATGACCCCGACCCCCAGATCTGATCAGAGTATGAGCGTACAGACACAGAATGATGACCCCGACCCCCAGATCTGATCAGAGTATGAGCGTACAGACACAGAATGATGACCCCGACCCCCAGATCTGATCAGAGTATGAGCGTACAGACACAGAATGATGACCCCGACCCCCAGATCTGATCAGAGTATGAGCGTACAGACACAGAATGATGACCCCGACCCCCAGATCTGATCAGAGTATGAGCGTACAGACACAGAATGATGACCCCGACCCCCAGATCTGATCAGAGTATGAGCGTACAGACACAGAATGATGACCCCGACCCCCAGATCTGATCAGAGTATGAGCGTACAGACACAGAATGATGACCCCGACCCCCAGATCTGATCAGAGTATGAGCGTACAGACACAGAATGATGACCCCGACCCCCAGATCTGATCAGAGTATGAGCGTACAGACACAGAATGATGACCCCGACCCCCAGATCTGATCAGAGTATGAGCGTACAGACACAGAATGATGACCCCGACCCCCAGATCTGATCAGAGTATGAGCGTACAGACACAGAATGATGACCCCGACCCCCAGATCTGATCAGAGTATGAGCGTACAGACACAGAATGATGACCCCGACCCCCAGATCTGATCAGAGTATGAGCGTACAGACACAGAATGATGACCCCGACCCCCAGATCTGATCAGAGTATGAGCGTACAGACACAGAATGATGACCCCGACCCCCAGATCTGATCAGAGTATGAGCGTACAGACACAGAATGATGACCCCGACCCCCAGATCTGATCAGAGTATGAGCGTACAGACACAGAATGATGACCCCGACCCCCAGATCTGATCAGAGTATGAGCGTACAGACACAGAATGATGACCCCGACCCCCAGATCTGATCAGAGTATGAGCGTACAGACACAGAATGATGACCCCGACCCCCAGATCTGATCAGAGTATGAGCGTACAGACACAGAATGATGACCCCGACCCCCAGATCTGATCAGAGTATGAGCGTACAGACACAGAATGATGACCCCGACCCCCAGATCTGATCAGAGTATGAGCGTACAGACACAGAATGATGACCCCGACCCCCAGATCTGATCAGAGTATGAGCGTACAGACACAGAATGATGACCCCGACCCCCAGATCTGATCAGAGTATGAGCGTACAGACACAGAATGATGACCCCGACCCCCAGATCTGATCAGAGTATGAGCGTACAGACACAGAATGATGACCCCGACCCCCAGATCTGATCAGAGTATGAGCGTACAGACACAGAATGATGACCCCGACCCCCAGATCTGATCAGAGTATGAGCGTACAGACACAGAATGATGACCCCGACCCCCAGATCTGATCAGAGTATGAGCGTACAGACACAGAATGATGACCCCGACCCCCAGATCTGATCAGAGTATGAGCGTACAGACACAGAATGATGACCCCGACCCCCAGATCTGATCAGAGTATGAGCGTACAGACACAGAATGATGACCCCGACCCCCAGATCTGATCAGAGTATGAGCGTACAGACACAGAATGATGACCCCGACCCCCAGATCTGATCAGAGTATGAGCGTACAGACACAGAATGATGACCCCGACCCCCAGATCTGATCAGAGTATGAGCGTACAGACACAGAATGATGACCCCGACCCCCAGATCTGATCAGAGTAAGAGCGTACAGACACAGAATGATGACCCCGACCCCCAGATCTGATCAGAGTATGAGCGTACAGACACAGAATGATGACCCCGACCCCCAGATCTGATCAGAGTATGAGCGTACAGACACAGAATGATGACCCCGACCCCCAGATCTGATCAGAGTATGAGCGTACAGACACAGAATGATGACCCCGACCCCCAGATCTGATCAGAGTATGAGCGTACAGACACAGAATGATGACCCCGACCCCCAGATCTGATCAGAGTATGAGCGTACAGACACAGAATGATGACCCCGACCCCCAGATCTGATCAGAGTATGAGCGTACAGACACAGAATGATGACCCCGACCCCCAGATCTGATCAGAGTATGAGCGTACAGACACAGAATGATGACCCCGACCCCCAGATCTGATCAGAGTATGAGCGTACAGACACAGAATGATGACCCCGACCCCCAGATCTGATCAGAGTATGAGCGTACAGACACAGAATGATGACCCCGACCCCCAGATCTGATCAGAGTATGAGCGTACAGACACAGAATGATGACCCCGACCCCCAGATCTGATCAGAGTATGAGCGTACAGACACAGAATGATGACCCCGACCCCCAGATCTGATCAGAGTATGAGCGTACAGACACAGAATGATGACCCCGACCCCCAGATCTGATCAGAGTATGAGCGTACAGACACAGAATGATGACCCCGACCCCCAGATCTGATCAGAGTATGAGCGTACAGACACAGAATGATGACCCCGACCCCCAGATCTGATCAGAGTATGAGCGTACAGACACAGAATGATGACCCCGACCCCCAGATCTGATCAGAGTATGAGCGTACAGACACAGAATGATGACCCCGACCCCCAGATCTGATCAGAGTATGAGCGTACAGACACAGAATGATGACCCCGACCCCCAGATCTGATCAGAGTATGAGCGTACAGACACAGAATGATGACCCCGACCCCCAGATCTGATCAGAGTATGAGCGTACAGACACAGAATGATGACCCCGACCCCCAGATCTGATCAGAGTATGAGCGTACAGACACAGAATGATGACCCCGACCCCCAGATCTGATCAGAGTATGAGCGTACAGACACAGAATGATGACCCCGACCCCCAGATCTGATCAGAGTATGAGCGTACAGACACAGAATGATGACCCCGACCCCCAGATCTGATCAGAGTATGAGCGTACAGACACAGAATGATGACCCCGACCCCCAGATCTGATCAGAGTATGAGCGTACAGACACAGAATGATGACCCCGACCCCCAGATCTGATCAGAGTATGAGCGTACAGACACAGAATGATGACCCCGACCCCCAGATCTGATCAGAGTATGAGCGTACAGACACAGAATGATGACCCCGACCCCCAGATCTGATCAGAGTATGAGCGTACAGACACAGAATGATGACCCCGACCCCCAGATCTGATCAGAGTATGAGCGTACAGACACAGAATGATGACCCCGACCCCCAGATCTGATCAGAGTATGAGCGTACAGACACAGAATGATGACCCCGACCCCCAGATCTGATCAGAGTATGAGCGTACAGACACAGAATGATGACCCCGACCCCCAGATCTGATCAGAGTATGAGCGTACAGACACAGAATGATGACCCCGACCCCCAGATCTGATCAGAGTATGAGCGTACAGACACAGAATGATGACCCCGACCCCCAGATCTGATCAGAGTAAGAGCGTACAGAAACAGAATGATGGCCTCGACACTATATCTGATTAGAGAACAAGTCTTATAGCTTGAGGATGTTACAGAATCTGAAACATTTTGATATAAAGGTTTAATTGGATATCTTGCAGTGTTTTTGTTTGTGTGAAAATGTTAACACTATGGAATATATATGATTCTTTGTTATGATACATGTTTGATAAACTAATCTGTTTTATTTATATGACCTGAAAAAATAGTGCCATGTGAATCAGTGTCATAAATGTATTTTGTTCTTCGATTCATCATATATTTCGCCTAACATCATTTTAAATATCGAATATTAGCGGTAATGAATTGTCATTATTTTTGCACTCTAGCTATTGCAATTAATAATTCAATGTCGAAAATTCAAAGTTATTAACCGCATATAATATTGATATACTTGTACATAATTGTATATTTTGCAGTGATTTTTCATGATTAGAAAATATGTAAGACATTCTTTCATTTTTTACGATTTATTGGTATTGAACTTACTGACAGTATTTTTGTGTTATGCAGGTTCTAATGGATGTACTCTTCTGAGATTAAAATCACATTCAAGTCTCGTTTTGATCTCGTTTAACGTTATTTTGTGATATTTAACCAATTATGATCAACTTTTGAAGCCAATACGCTCTCCTGAAAAATGTGTCAAAAACCAGATGCCATTTGTTTGTAGAATTGTTTTAAAAGATTCTTTTTAAATGACCAACTCTGCGTCCATTTTGACAATATGTACTTCTTGCACTTCACGAAAGGTCAAAATTACCCTATTTTGACAATAGACAATTGTGAACAAATGTGTTCATTAAACAAAAGGGGTAGGGGTAACTTTAATTGCTTTCCTGAGTTTAAAAAGAAGTTTAGGAAATTTTACTTCCATATTTTTTCTTTTTCTTTTTGCAAACATTCATACATATCTAATAACACACTTCGTATCTATTCGTATCTTGACCGATCATATCACAAAAACAACACAATGACATATTATTCTTTTTGCATGTTCCTACTATGCCATTAACTCATTTTTCCCAAAAAAAGGATATACGAAAAGAGTTTAATACAGGCTATTTTTGACATTTCGGTGGAGTACATCCTTTTCTTTTTACTTGTTGAAGTGTTTTATTTAGGTAATAAATGCTACCATTGTGTTAAAACTATGTTTGTTGTTCATACATTCAGCTTTAGTATTGATATAATTGAAAAAGAAGTACCAGTAGATACATGTGACTTGTACTTCGATCGTTTCTTAATTTTTTACCTTTTCGCACTGAATTCAATTATGGTATATCAAAAAACGTAAGCTTCTAAAATGCATAATGCGTGTTTTTGCACTGAATTTTCATTAATTGTGAGAAAGGTTTACAACCCTGTCAAATTATTTTTTTTACTGAAGATTTATTGTTATGATAGATTCCATCATTCTTTTTCGGACATAAAATAAACCTTTGCAAATTAGTTCCATCTTAGTTTGTACTTTTTTGTCATGCAGTATCCCTTATCTTGAATATTAGCTCTTAGCGTTGTTGATATGCATATTCTAGTGCCATGGCATTGCACTTAATTTTGAAATTTAAATATCAAAAACTTCTATATTGCTCAAGTAATTAAAATATGGTTTATATCAATTATGTAAGATGAACATTTAGAGTTAAATGAAATTGATGTTTTATGCTGATTGGTATTTTAGCTTTATTTTTTGTCGTGTAGTGTGATTCCATTTCTAAATTAGATTTCTTAATTGCTATTGTATTTGATTTAAGTTTGTTATCTAGTGTGTTTTAATGTTGAAATAACATTTTAAGTAACTAAAATTGGAATTGATTTGAAATAAAATCTATATTGTAGAAATATTTGTCATGTGATATATATTTATAAAGCGTTAATTCCCCGTTCGAACTATCCCTCCCGAATATTTATCAATATTTTATGTCAGACAAGCCCTTCGTGTCAATCGAGGAATAAATTAATAAATAGTCGGTTTGCAAATCTTAATGAGACTTGAATATATGTTATCTATAATAAATTACTGTATATATAGGTATCATAGGCGAGCCAATATTAGCACTGGGTCCAAACACACGCGTCATACTTGAAGGCATCCTAAACAGACAACAATCGATCTATAGTGACAACAAGCGTCGCCAACGAATCTTTAAAGTAGATAAAATAAGCGACATCAGACGGAATGTTGTTCATATAACTATATACAAAAGTGTATCTTGAATACTTGAGGTCAAGTGAGTCAATACAGAAATCTTAATAAATGTAGTGACAACAAGGTGCCCAATGAGCCTGCATCGCTCACCTGGTACTAATCTCACAGTTGTAATCTTAAAAGTGAACTAAAATAAAGTAACAAGCAAAACATCGGTGTCTTGACTGAAATTAATTCAAAAGAACCTGTTAAACAATTTAAACACGTTTGACCCCTGTCACCTTGAAAGTCGAACATGGGCATTAAGTTGACCAAACTGTATAGCCCTTCGGTCCTGACTGCTGACAATTAAAAGACGCATTCAACCGTTTTGGCTACCCCGACTGGTCAATAAATAAGGTAAAAAGAGCTGTAATAGAAAAGATAGAAAATAGAACAAGAGGCCCAATGGGCCTGCATCGCTCACCTGTTATTAATCTAACACTTGAAATTTTAAGATTTCATAAGAAACTATTAAAAGATTTAAACATATGACGCCTCTGACCTTGATTGTCGAAAAAGGACATTAGGTTGAAAGTGGATCAAGGTCATTCATTTGAACAAACTTGGAAGTCCTTTATCCCAGCATGCTACAGGCCCAATTTCAGTACCCTGGCCCTTTTGCTTATTGAAAAGAAGTCGCTTGAAGATTTTACGACATTTGACCCCTGTGACCTTGAAAGTTGGTCAAGGGCATTCAGTTGAACAAACTTGATAGTCCTTCATCCCAGCATGCTACAGGCCCAATAACAGTACCCTGGGCCTTTTGGTTATTGAGAAGAAGTTGTTTGAATATTTTATGACATTTGACCCCTTTGACCTTTGAAAGTTGGTCAAGGTCATTCATTTGAACTAACTTGGCAATCCTTCAACCCAGCATGCTACAGGCCGAATTTCAGTACCCTGACCCTTTTGCTTATTGAGAAGAAGTCGCTTGAAGATTTTACAACATTTGACCCCTGTGACCTTGAAAGTTGGTCAAGGTCATTCAGTTGAACAAACTTGATAGTCCTTCATCCCAGCATGCTACAGGCCCAATAACAGTACCCTGGGCCTTTTGGTTATTGAGAAGAAGTCGTTTGAAGATTTTACGATATTAGACCCCTGTTACCTTGAAAGTTGGTCAAGGTCATTCATTTGAACAAACTGGGTAGTCCTTCATTCAAGCATGCTACAGGCCGAATTTCAGTACCCTGGCCCTTTTCCTTATTGAGAAAATGTTGTTTGAAGATTTTAAGACATCTGACCCCAGTGACCTTGAAATTAGGTCAAGGTCATTCATTTGAACAAACTTGGTAGCCCTTCATCCCAGCATGTTACAGGCCCAATATCAGTACCCTGGGCCTTTTGGTTATTGAGAAAAAGTTGTTTGAAGATTTTAAAGACATCTGACACCAGTGACCTTGAAAGTGGGTCAAGGTCATTCATTTGAACAAACTTGGTAGCCCTTCATCCCAGCATGCTACAGGCCCAATATCAGTTCCCTGGGCCTTTTGGTTATTGAGAAGAAGTTGTTTGAAGATTTTAACATATTTAACCCCTGTGACCTTGAATGTGGGTCAAGGTCATTTATTTGAACAAACTTGGTAGCCCTTGATCCCAGCAAGCTACTGGCCAAATATCATCTTCCTAGGCCTTTTGGTTACTGAAAAGAAGTTGTTTAAAGCAAAAAGTTGACGCCGGACAGACGGACGACGGACGGACGACGGACGCTGCACCATAACATAAGCTCACTTGCCCTTCCGGCAGGTGAGCTAAAAACGAGACAGAAGAAAAGTAATGAGATCCAAACCAAAAGCAAAGGTTGGGTCACTATACCCTTCGTGAAGGGAACATCTGAGGCGTTGGCACGGGTGATCAGGAAACACCATTTCAGCACCCCAATGAGCTTCCTGTCTGACAACCCTCAGATAGTTTAATACTGGTGCACCCCAAAGACAAGACTGACATTTTAGACAAAACAGGAGTTGTATATCAAATTCCATGCAAACATTGTCAGCGGTCATAAATAGGTGAAACTGGGAGAAAATTTGGTATACGTCTGAAGGAACATCAAAAAGACGTAGAGAAAATGAACAACATCACATTCACCAGATCCACACGCAAACATCCGCCACTCGATCAGTACAATAAATTGGCATTAACAGATCACGCTTACACCAAAAATCACATCGTCAATTGGGACAATGCCAAGATAGTTGAAAGGGAACAACACACAAAAACGAGACAAATCAAAGAAGCAATCAAAATTAGGAAAACTCGGAACATGAACAGAGACAAAGGGGGACACCAGCTGTATGACCCGATACTGTCATAACAGGGGAGGGGGCAAGACCTACACCCTACCGGTAACCTATCTGATGCCGCGTGTATTCGGTCTTTGCGTATTGCAGAGTTATCTTCTCTTTGGAGCAGGTATTGATTGTTACGTCACTTGTTTGTGAGAGGAACATCATCAATTTTTGAGAAAACGACGTAATTTTCTCACACAGACCAATGACGTAACAATCAATACCTGCTCTCAAGAGAAGATAACTCTGCAATAAGCTCCCTATCGATAG